ACACGTCCAGCTTCATATCACACTACAGAACCACCAGGTATACTAACAAGCATCAAACACGTCCAGCTTCATATCACACAACGGAACCAACAGACGATCTAACGAGCATCAAACACGTCCAGCTTCATATCACATTATAGAAGCACCAGGTATACTAACGAGCATCAAACACGTCCAGCTTCATATCACACTACAGAACCACCAGGTATACTAACAAGCATCAAACACTTCCAGCTTCATATCACACTACAGAACCACCAGGTATACTAATGAGCATCAAACACGTCAAGCTTCATATCACACTACAGAACCACCAGGTATACTAACGAGCATAAACCACGTCCAGCTTCATATCACACTACAGAACCACCAGGTATACTAACGAGCATCAAACACGTCCAGCTTCATATCACACTACAGAACCACCAGGTATACTAACGAGCATCAAACACGTCCAGCTTCATATCACACTACAGAACCACCAGGTATACTAACAAGCATCAAACACGTCCGGCTTCATATCACACTACAGAACCACCAGGTATACTAACAAGCATCAAACACGTCCAGCTTCATATCACACTACAGAACCACCAGGTATACTAACGAGCATCAAACACGTCCAGCTTCATATCACACAACAGAACCAACAGGTATACTAACTAGCATCAAACACGTCAAGCTTCATATCACACTACAGAACCACCAGGTATACTAACGAGCATCAAACACGTTCAGCTTCATATCACACTACAGAACCACCAGGTATATTAACGAGCATCAAACACGTCCAGCTTCATATCACACTACAGAACCAACAGGTATACTAACAAGCATCAAACACGTCCAGCTTCATATCACACTACAGAACCACAAGGTATACTAACAAGCATCAAACACGTCCAGCTTCATATCACACTACAGAACCACCAGGTATACTAACGAGCATCAAACACGTCCAGCTTCATATCACACTACAGAACCACCAGGTATACTAACAAGCATCAAACACGTCCAGCTTCATATCACACTACAGAACCACAGGTATACTAACAAGCATCAAACACGTCCAGCTTCATATCACACTACAGAACCACCAGATATACTAACAAGCATCAAACACGTCCAGCTTCATATCATACTACAGAACCACCAGGTATACTAACGAGCATCAAACACGTCCAGTTTCATTTCACACTACAGAACCACCTGGTATAGTAACGAGCATCAAACATGTCCAGCTTCATATCACACTACAGAACCACCAGGTATACTAACGAGCATCAAACACGTCCAGCTTCATATCACACTACAGAACCACCATGTATACTAACGAGCATCAAACACGTCCAGCTTCATATCACACTACAGAACCACCAGGTATACTAACGAGCATCAAACACGTCCAGCTTCATATCACATTATAGAAGCACCAGGTATACTAACGAGCATCAAACACGTCCAGCTTCATATCACACTACAGAACCACCAGGTATACTAACGAGCATCAAACACGCCCAGCTTCATATCACACTACAGAACCACCAGGTATACTAACAAGCATCAAACACGTCCAGCTCCATACCACACTACAGGACCATCAGGTATACTAACAAGCATCAAACACATTCAGCTTCATATCACACTACAGAACCACCAGGTATACTAACGAGCATCAAACACGTCCAGCTTCATATCACACTACAGAACCACCAGGTATACTAACGAGCATCGAACACGTCCAGCTTCATATCACACTACAGAACCACCAGATATACTAACAAGCATCAAACATGTCCAGCTTCATATCACAATATAGAACCACCAGGTATACTAACAAGCATCAAAGACGTCCAGCTTCATATCACACTACAGAACCACCAGGTATACTAACGAGCATCAAACACGTCCAGCTTCATATCACACTACAGAACCACCATGTATACTAACGAGCATCAAACACGTCCAGCTTCATATCACAATACAGAACCACCAGGTATACTAACAAGCATCAAACACGTCCAGCTTCATATCACACAACAGAACCACCAGGTATACTTACGAGCATCAAACACGTCCAGCTTCATATCACACTACAGAACCAAAAGGTATACTAAAGAGCATCAAACACGTCCAGCTTCATATCACACTACAGAACCACCAGGTATACTAACGAGCATCAAACACGTCCAGCTTCATATCACACTACAGAACCACCAGGTATACTAACGAGCATCAAACACGTCCAGCTTCATATCACACTACAGAACCACCAGGTATACTAACAAGCATCAAACACGTCCAGCTTCATATCACACTACAGAACCAAAAGGTATACTAACAAGCATCAAACACGTCCAGCTTCATATCACACTACAGAACCGCCAGGTATACTAACGAGCATCAAACACGTCCACCGTTATATCACACTACAGAACCACCAGGTATACTAACAAGCATCAAACACGTCCAGCTTCATATCACACTACAGAACCAACAGGTATACTAACAAGCAGCAAACACGTCCAGCCTCATATCACGATATAGAACCGCAAGGTATACTAACAAGCATCAAACACGTTCAGCTTCATATCACACTACAGAACCACCAGGTATACTAACGAGCATCAAACACGTCCAGCTTCATATCACACTACAGAACCACCAGGTATACTAACAAGCATCAAACACGTCCAGCTTCATATCACACTACAGAACCAACAGGTATACTAACGAGCATCAAACACGTCCAGCTTCATATCACACTACAGAACCACCAGGTATACTAACGAGCATCAAACACGTCCAGCTTCATATCACACTACAGAACCACCAGGTATACTAACGAGCATCAAACACGTCCAGCTTCATATCACACTACAAAAACAAAAGGTATACTAACGAGCATCAAACACGTCCAGCTTCATATCACACTACAGAACCACCAGGTATACTAACGAGCATCAAACACGTCCAGCTTCATATCACACTACAGAACCACCAGGTATACTAACAAGCATCAAACACGTCCAGTTTCATATCACAATACAGAACCAACAGGTATACTAACAAGCATCAAACACGTCAAGCTTCATATCACACTACAGAACCACCAGGTATACTAACGAGCATCAAACACGTTCAGCTTCATATCACACTACAGAACCACCAGGTATATTAACGAGCATCAAACACGTCCAGCTTCATATCACACTACAGAACCATCAAACACTAAACACGTCCAGCTTCATATCACACTACAGAACCACCGCATCAAACACGTCCAGCTTCATATCACACTACAGAACCACCAGGTATACTAACGAGCATCAAACACGTCCAGCTTCATATCACACTACAGAACCACCAGGTATACTAACGAGCATCAAACACGTCCAGCTTCATATCACACTACAGAACCACCAGGTATACTAACGAGCATCAAACACGTCCAGCTTCATATCACACTACAGAACCACCAGGTATACTAACGAGCATCAAACACGTTCAGCTTCATATCACACTACAGAACCACCAGGTATACTAACAAGCATCAAACACGTCCAGCTTCATATCACACTACAGAACCAACAGGTATACTAACAAGCATCAAACACGTCCAGCTTCATATCACACTACAGAACCACCAGGTATACTAACAAGCATCAAACACGTCCGGCTTCATATCACACTACAGAACCACCAGGTATACTAACAAGCATCAAACACGTCCGGCTTCATATCACACTACAGAACCACCAGGTATACTAACAAGCATCAAACACGTCCAGCTTCATATCACACAACAGAACCAAAAGGTATACTAACGAGCATCAAACACGTCCAGCTTCATATCACACTACAGAACATCAAGATATACTAACAAGCATCAAACACGTCCAGCTTCATATCACACTATAGAACCACCAGGTATACTAACAAGCATCAAACACGTCCAGCTTCATATCACACTACAGAACCACCAGGTATACTAACGAGCATCAAACACGTCCAGCTTCATATCACACTACAGAACATCAAGATATACTAACAAGCATCAAACACGTTCAGCTTCATATCACACTACAGAACCACCAGGTATACTAACGAGCATCAAACACGTCCAGCTTCATTTCACACTACACAACCACCAGGTGTAATAAAAAGCATTAAACACGTCCAGTTTCAAATCACATTACAGAACCACCAGGTATACTAACAAGCATCAAACACGTCCAGCTTCATATCACACTACAGAACCACCAGGTATACTAACGAGCATCAAACACGTCCAGCTTCATATCACACTACAGAACCACCAGGTATACTAACGAGCATCAACCACGTCCAGCTTCATATTTCACGGTACAGAACCGCAAGGTATACTAACAAGCATCAAACACGTCCAGCTTCATATCACAAAACGGAACTAACAGACAAACTAACAAGCATCAAACACTTCCAGCTTCATATCACACTACAGAACCACCAGGTATACTAACGAGCATCAAACACGTCCAGCTTCATATCACACTACAAAACCAACAGGTATACAAACGAGCTTCAAACACGTCCAGCTTCATATCACACAACAGAACCACCAGATATACTAACAAGCATCAAACATGTCCAGCTTCACATCACAATATAGAACCACCAGGTATACTAACCAGCATCAAACACGTCCGGCTTCATATCACACTACAGAACCACCAGGTATACTAACAAGCATCAAACACGTCCAGCTTCATATCACACTACAGAACCACCAGGTATACTAACAAGCATCAAACACGTCCAGCTTCATATCACACTACAGAACCACCAGGTATACTAACAAGCATCAAACTATTGTGTTCTTATTTTGTTTTATTTACTGTGAGTTGAATTGAAATATTTCAGTTTTAATTAATGCTTGGTGTAGATTCCTTGTAGCCCTGTACTGAAAGGTAATACAAAAGTAATGTCATTTGCCAATAAAAAAACCCAAGAAGAGCAAATTAAAGATGGTTTCATTTTAATATGAGAAGCACAGGAATGTGAAAATATTGCAGTACCTTGATTAAGGGACAATTTAACTGTAATATTTCTATGAACATAATATAACATGCAAATTCCAAACTATTCAGATGTAAAGAAAGTATCAAAGGGGAGAACTGTTGTGATCATGATTTCCATAACAAATAGTTTTGCCTTATAATCAAGACCTGTTGCCCATTTGTTATTTAGTATGCTAAATGAGCTCTTCGCATTTCAGTACTTTTCACAACCATTTTTTCATTTTTACACCAATTTCCTTTATCCTATTTCAGGCGTCCCATTTCTTTGGTGTATTGAACACAGGATGTCCTTTGAATATGTATGATATGATCAGTTTATCAGTTTATCATATTTCATCATCATCACTAAAACCAAGATCTTCTTCCGGAAAGTCTCCAACTTCTACATGGCTTACACGCACAAATCCACCATATTTATCAGGACATTCAAAGTACTGCTTCCCTTTCACACTGTTAAACAAGTAAAACTGTTAACATACCTACATACAATGGAGGCAATAAAAATTGTGTGGTATTAAAATTTCTGTCTACAATAACCTCTCTTATTCTGTGTAATAAAACTGTCTGAAGTACTTTTCTATATCACATACCTGCAATAAATAATATTTTGTGACATCACCTAGTATAAACCATACAAATAAATCAATTGTATTTTTCTTTTTATATAGCTGTACCACAATCATTTGTTGTTGCATTGTATTTCTTTCCAGTCAGTTATTTTTTAAAAGTTATATAGGATACAAACTATGAGAGAGTTTTTTGTTACTTTTGAAAAATAACTTATGAAAGTGAAGAAATGCTATACACAACAACAATGCATTTGTGTGATCTGTTTCTTCTATAATGAAAGAGTTTTTTCAAGGATGAATGGATCTGTTCTGTACCCAGGTGTGTTTTCGTTTAAGACATCAGTTTGGGCTTTAAGGTAGACCTGTAGTGAAATGCTAACCATTAATAAATGTAGGTGGAAATATTACTGTATAATATTTTACAACTAACAACAAGTAATTCATGACTTTATTATCTTTTCAACAATAAATTGACAGAAATAAAATTAAAATTAAATTATTACAAAACAACCGTAGACCTATTGAGCATTTTAATTTCGGCAAGTGTGTGTTTTCCTGGTCAAAGTTGATCATGTCGGCCATTTAAAATGTGTTAACAGTTTTTACCATGCGTGGTATAAATACTTGTTTAAACAACAGCTGTAATGATTGAATGATGTCTAAAGAATTTAATAACACCAATCTATTGTGGTAGAATAATTACTCCTTAACACTTTGTTCTAATTATGATGTTTAGGGCGTTGTCATTTTACATCCAATATTTTTCTGGTAGTAATATACCTCAGTGGTAGAATGTAGAATGCTGAAAATTCTTCTTCACCACTCTACAATTAACTACTTATCCTTTACTCCAGTAGACATTTAGGATTTCTAGTGTAAGAAAAATCATTGTACTATTTTTACTAGATGCACTTACCTGCCATCATTCTTTCCCATAGGTTCGTCATATTGCACACCCACCCACAATCCTTCTTTGAAGTCAGTTAAACCTACAAAGAAATCAATACAAATCTTCACAATTGGAAACATATGAATTTATCACGTTTGAAGTATGTCAATTAGTCCTTTAACATTTTTCAAAAGATGAGACATTTCACATTTTTCTTTTGAAGTTATAGAAATGTATCTACATAAATCTGCAACAAGAGGCCCAAGGAACATGCATTGCTCACCTGGTTTGGTCATCATTACTTAATCAAAACAGAAAGAGAAGGATTAAAGATATTTTCTGGAGACAGTAAAGTCATTGATTTATAAAAAATTGAGTCCCCTTCACCCAAGAATGCTTCAGATCAAATTGGGGAAAACTTCTTGCCATTCCTGAAGAGCCACTGTTTATTACAAAATTAAGTACTCTTCACCAAATGATGCTACAGACCAGTTTTGGACATTTCTTTTTTATTCTATTTATCAGGTAAACAGGAATACCTATATATTGTTACTTTTAGAGAGGCTTACTAGGTAACAACTGTAGCCAAATAGCTTTATAGATAAGAACATTCATCTGGAGTTAAGAGTTTTGAGTTTATGCCTCTCTTGTTACAAACTAACAACAGTAGATCAGACCAACTGTGTCTCACATAATCAGTGCTTAAAATTGTATTAACAAAGGGATATTTAAACATGGGTAGTAAAAAAGTGTTGATTTTGAGGTTGAATATTTAGAAAAATAGAGAAATGCACTGAAGACGTGGACTAAGTGACAACCTGAGGTCAAACGTCAGCTCAATTTTCAGAGAATAGGTATAGAATCTGAAGGTTCAAATGACTGACTAGCACTGACACACTTCCCCTCTCCTTTAACATGTAATGCTGACACAAATGTTCACACAAGTTTCATTCCTAATGTGGAGAAATATCTATTTCACGGCTCGAGATCGAATCAAGGGAGGTAACTCTTACAACATGCCTTACAAGGATAATGGAAAAAGAGTAGATTTTCTTACCAACATATTTTACCTGTCCTCGTTTTGCTGGTTGTTCTGGAACTCTTACCTCACACCTGTGAAGGAGAAAAGCATTTATTACAAGTCACCATGCAATCAGAGAACATGCAGATTGGTCAAACCTAATTCAGGATATTTCAAGCCCAAATTAATTAGACAAGTGACATATGCAACTAGATTATTATTTCAACAAATCATTTCATCGTTGCTGATGTCATTTCCCAAGGGAGATACACACATATATATATGTCCAGTGTCCAGTATATATGTAGAAAAATATTAAAATTGGAAACATTTTTGATTAGTAAAGCATAGCGCTTTTGTGTCAAATAATTTTTTTATTTGATATCAAAGTGTTATACTGTATATTCCATTAACATTTCCAATTTAATTGTCTTTCTGTATTATAATTTTGAAGATAAGATCTGCACAAAAGTTCGCTAAAGTTATCTTAATGATGCACAATGTATTTCAAGTAAAACATATGTGTATATATATATAGAATCAAGTAAGTAATATCAATGGTATAGTCCAATATTGCTACTGGATCCTAACAAACAAATGTTCGTTGGATGTGTATTACTGGGATAGCTATATGATCAATGAAGTAATAGCAACATTACCGACAAGCGAATTGTCAAATATTCATGGCAACCTGCCCCTTTATCAAGACACAAATATTACATAAATTTCATTACATACATAGAACATAAAACAAGCACAAAGTTATAATTCTAAATCGAAAGCTGTGTTGTAATTTAGATGTCTTGATAATCCCTTCGGCCGACGGACGTTGAAGGCCCTTCATGAGGGATAAAAAACCCTTCCTAAGTTGTTGTATGGAAGATGGTGAATAAAATATCAAAAATGTTTTACATCAATCTTGGTAGGTTTTCCACTCTAGACAACTGATTGCAATGAAAACACACTCCAAGGACAGTAGTCTACAGCCACTTTTTGGCCACCTTCTACATAAGGAATTTTTTATATTGAAAATAAAATTTTTTATTGTAAACTGGCTGTTGGCTCCCATGTACTTTTATCTTAAATGGGTTTATAGAGACTCTGTGGCAGAGTCATCTGTTTCTTCATCATTGGCAAAGTGTGAAGATGGAGTCGTCTGTAAAAGCCTCCATATTCTGTACCGATTCCACTTTGTTTGGATTATGTGGGATGGGGCAGAAATTTGAGGCACTTAGAGAGTATCAAAGTTTCTTGGGCACTCAGGGTGTGGTCAGAGAGATCTGTCTTGATAAAGGGGCAGTTTGTCTAAAAAATAAGACCATGCTCTTGTCCAAACTATCATTATTACTTCATTGATCATTACTTGCCTCTTTGTAACCTGTAACGAAAAATTGGAAGGAATTAACCATGGAAACTATAATAAATAATCATAAATAATCATGTTTGGTTGAGGAAACATCATAGAAAAAACCATAGAACGATAATATCAGGTATGCTTGGCTTTTAAGAACACAATTCAACGAGATATGATATGAATTGTCGGAAGGAAAAAAGTGTCATTTCCTCTATATCTCTGTAATGTCCGCACCCCCTTTTTTGGATTGATTTTCGGTGAAAAAAAGTGCGGACATTACATGGGTTTTTACGGTAAATTACACAACATACACAGAACATAAAACAAATACAAAGTTATAAAGTTAAATTGAGAGAGGTGGTGTAAATTTAGGTGTCTCAATAATTCCTTCAGTCCATGGACACCGAAGGTCATTTCTAACAAAAAACCCTTCCTAAGTTGTTGTATGGAAGATAGTGATTAAAATGTCATATCTACCCTAGTACAGTCTACAAAATTCCTCTGACAGATTATTTCCTGTAGACAAGCTTCAATCTCATTTCTATTTGACAGCCAAAGTTCTAAACAAACTGGTACCAAGGGATATATGTAACAGCATACACTATATAAGCATGCCATTAGTAAAGTGAAAACTACATCAATAATTGCATTGGCCCATAACAATGTTTTGCATACAGGACCACTAATGTTTGTCCAGAGGCTTGCTTTCGATTTTTTTTTTGTACAGATTAGGACCTGGCTTAATATTCTTGCTTGTGTATCAAATCAATGTGACTGAGATCATTAAACATCTCCACAATTATGATTGATTTCATTTCATTTTTTTTATTTCAAAATACAATCCTATAATTTCATCTGCTGTCTTTGAAAATTGATATATTTTTGCACACATCCTATAAGTTTGTAATGACAAAAACTCTGGTATCCTAAAGATATCTATCAGATCATATGACTAAACCACAAAACAAATAATTGCCTTCGTAATTTTGAGAGTTGTCATGATAATATTGATTTTTTTCAATACATATTTTTCCTGAAACCTACAGTATTAAAGTAACACCATAGTAGACCTTGCCATGTCTTCCTAAAGTAGCCAAAGAAAATGACATGGTTGGTAAAGAGAAAACTGTGACACAAAATTCTCCAGGTTCATTCAATAGGGTCCTAATGATACAGTTGAAAAGCTATAGATGTAATCAAACATTATGGTCAATTACCATCTTGTATTATTTTAACCAAACAGTTTTACAATTACCTTTAGAGAACTCATCTAGTGATGACATCACACCACCACCAAGTGTATCAAGAAGCTATTGATTTACAGCAGTTACATGGTGACTCTTTCATTTTCTTTAAGAGGGTTCATAAGGAGAAACATGTCCATTGCTTCAAAATTGAAAAAGCATGATCACAGGAATGGTCTCCAATACACCAGATAAACAAGAGCTGTTTGAGAAAAGCATACCTCGTCTATCAATGACATGTTTCATGTAAATACCAATTGATAATCGAAGATGTGCATCAATATGTCACATTTTCACATCTGACTTCCTCCAAAAAATTCACACAGAAATTTACCCCTTGTGGGTCCCTTTAAAATGAAAATATATATCATTTGACGTATTAATAATAATTTGTATTAACACTAATTGCCCCTTGACATTTTGTGATCCCGTGCTGTTTGAAAAACACATGCCCAAAGACTTTAACATATGACTGATTCCCAAAATTCACAAACAGAAATTTACACCTTTTGGGTCCCATAAATATGAAAGAGTAGGACACAGACAGGTTAGGCCACCCCCCCCCCCCCCCAACCAACCCACCCTAAAATACATACCCCAGACTGACCGATTATTGACCATGACCATCTGATGATGGTGGGCTAAAAATATCATACTATGTCTTGTCCTTGATGGGCATATAAAACTGAAGAATCAATCAATTTACAAGCAGTTCACCCAGGGATTTAAAGGGGTCGAAAAAGTGTTTAGGACAGTGGATGAGTATGACTGTCACACTCACATGATGGTCTGCAACAAACCCTACCTTACCTCAAACATACTGTTTGTTAAAGAAGGTCTAAACTACTTACTACCTAACCAGATATACCTTTCACTCTGATCATTTGTTTGATTAAGCTGACAGTGTAGTCATTGAAACATCTGCATAAATTTTCTGACTGGTTGTGATACACATGCACCAGATAAGAATGTTAATTCAATATACACATGTACATTGTATTACCAACCTAAGGGAAATGGAAAATAATTGATCACTTTGTATTTTGATAAATGGAGAGAGCCTACTTTGATTTAACTGCAATAAGGTACCATAAATGCAAAATTTTTAATGAAAAAGTTATGTATATCTTTAAACAAAAAACAAGAGTTCCTCGGAACTGTATGTGTCACCTGCATAAAGTGTCACGGTCACCCAGTAATCGAACTGAATGTGCAACGTTCAACCGTAAAGTTGTAATACCAAATTTCATTTCTATCACTCGAAGCATATAAGGATAACGGCGCAAAGCAATATTCCTGAGAAATTTCAAAGGGACATATCGCAGCCAAGAAAGCTGTGAATGGAACCTTATCTGTAATGGTCGACCATGAAGCCATTTCTCATATTTCATTTCAAAAACTCTAAGCATAATCAAGAAAAGTACAAAAAACTATATTCTCAAAGAATTATCGAAGAGGCATAACTCTGTAAAGAAGGGTCACAGACAGCCAAGAATCAAAACTAATCTGTACCCTTCCAACAAGAAGCCATTTACCAAATTTCATTTTAATATCTCAAAGGATAACCCACAAAAAGTCTGAAAAACAATATTCCCAGAGAATTTTCTAAGTTCCAAGGGGATTACTCTGCCAAGAAGGGTCACAGACAGCCGGAAACATAAAGCATAACTGCAAAAAGTCCAGAAAACTTCTGTATGGACGACGCCAACGCCAACACGTGACTACTGACAAAATGATCCCTAAGTGTCCGCCAGCTCTGCAGGCAACTCAATAAGTAAATATACAAATGATTTTCCTCTAACATAATTTTTTCCAAAACAAATAGCCTGAGAAAAAAAATTACCTGTCCTTACATGACCTAATGTGCTGATAAGATTTTTATGTTTTCTGAAAATATACATTCCTATGTAACTTAGGTGATAGTTCAATTCGTCAGTAAGAAAAATGTACAATAAATATGACAGTAAGTGACTTTGTGTAGCATTAAACCCATGTCTGGTAATAAACACAGCCACGTTTCAGTTTCAGGAAGCATGCCAGCAAATGTTTTGTCTCTAACCTGTAATAAGTTCTCTTTTATGAATCATAGCTTAATAGGCTAAATCAGAAGGTTAAATTAGAGTTAGTAGGTCAAACCAGAGGTTCATATGTTATCCTCTGGTCAATGGTAGAATAAACATGAAACACTGACATTACATGACAATGTAATGTGAATGTCCCTTTCACAGAGATATGAGCTATCATGTGGTCAGCCTCAAAAATCTTTTAAACACAGAAAAAGACTATTGAAAGTAACAGACTACATGACACAGGAGGTATTATATATAAAGTCTATCTGCTTACCTGTCTCCTATATTTATTGATTCAGCCTTTTGTTTTTCAGCTTCATCCTTTTTGGCTTTTTCTTCAGCAAGCCTATTTTGTTCCTCTGGAGAGATCTCTTTGAATCTGCCCATTTTATTTCTTTCTTTAAATGCTCTCACAGAATCTAAACACAATGAAATTCCAAAACATGATGAATTTTAACCAAAAACTTTAACTTTAAACCCAGGAGAAAAATTTAAAGTTCTACTACAATATTATTTGTTGGGGCTTGTTTTTTTAGTGTTCACAAGGTGTCCACTTGTTTTTTATTTCAACTGGTGATAATTAGTTAACAATCACAGCGACTGAGCGAGAGGGCCTCGCTCAAAACACGCTAAAACAACAGTGTCACTTTGACGTATTGAGAAGACTTTGACACGATGAGTCCCAAGCCATATCAGTGTCGTTAATAGAGAGGAAAAATCCAACCATGACACAAATCATCATGTCTGCTACAAGAAGATGCTACACAGTTGAGGAGAAGTTGGACATCGTCAATGGTGCCGGGACAATGGCCGTAATCTCCATCAGACAGCAAGAGATTTCTCCGTCGACAGGAAACTCGTCAGACAGTGGGACAGAGACTTTGAGAAATTCCTTGGCCATGGAAAAGGAACAGACTCCAAGAAGAAGAAGCGTGGCACCAACCCAGCGCCCAGGTCCATTAAGCTTGACGACCCCGTATTTGACTGGTTCGTCGAGGAATGCGCCGAGGGTTGAGCCGTCTCCAATTATCAGCTGCAGTCTAAGGGGAGAGAACTCGCCAGCCAACTCCGCATTGACAACTTCATAGCCTCCAATGGATGGTTACACTGGTGGAAACAGTGTTTCAGCGTTGGAATACGATGATCTCAGTAAAATATATTTTGTTATATTGTTAATAAAATTATTGAACCTGTTTTCGTCTCTGGGTTATTTTTGATGACAGATAGGCCAAGTTATCATTCCTTATGACAAAAAAATCCAAGATGGCAGACACACGTACATCTCGTGAACAGGGGGATTGCCCGCAAATAAGCCCCCTCCCCTCTTTTGACAAGTCTTTTTAACTGTGTGGGGGGGCTTATTTGTGGTAAAATACAGTAATCATGCTTGTAGAATAATTGTCCGAATTTTGTTAGAAGGGAAGAAAGAAAGACAACTATCTGGAAAAATAATGCATCATATATTTTCATTTTGAAATGTTAAGTTTAACTAAATATCATCATGTAAAATGTGTCTTAAGTAAAATTAACCATTTATTGAAACACATACTGCTGACATGAGCATGGCCACAACATGTTTCACCATAATAAATTACCTGATCGTTTAGAGTAAGCATCTTCTGACATTTCATATTTTTCTACTTTAGATGTATCTTCAAATTCTCCTAATCTAACTGTTGCATCTACTACCTGAAAAGGTATAAAAAATATATATATAATCATAATTTAGATGTTACCTTTACATAATTGTAAAGGAATTCTTTTGAAACTTACAATTTCTTTAATTTTCCTGATATATGTTAATCACTTAAACATTAAAACATCTTCAATTTTACCATGAAAAGAGCAGATTTTAAAATATGAATGAATGAATGGATGTACAGATCATGGAATATAATCAAAAAGCATTTTTGGCCCCACACTTGAGATTTTAGTCATTCTCAAGATAGTCCATGGAAACTGCTTAATATCCTCTTCCATTTGTTTGGGGGGAATGTGACAATAAGTGGAATGTGACATCAACAGTTGACACATTTTTTCAGACATCTAAATCCAGAAGAAAACTTTCTGATTACAAAAGTCTAACTGACTTGTTTCTAACAGAAATTGTACAAACTACAAAAGTAACACTGAATAGGAACATGATTATTTGATCAGTACACTTACGTCTGATTTCTATTCCACCCTCACAAGGATTAGACTACAGCTGCTACTTACATGTAACCGCATTCCATCATCCACAGGAAAGGAGCCAAGCAATGCATCGTCACTGTCCAGCTTACATATTAGCTTGTCATCTTTATCGTAAACCTCTAGTTTCATGTTTGCAGCAACTGAGCCCGTCACTAACTCCAACTTCCCCTAAAACATACAAAAACAACACTTTTGTACGATTTACAAGGCATGAAAAAATAATGAAAGAAAATTATTGCAGCATTTTACAGTGTTAAGTACCAAATTGAAAAAGCAAACTGGAAAATATTTGTAAGATTTACTTTCACAACTCTGCTACCATGCAACAATGTTTGTCATATTGAAATGGGGTGGGCAAAACATCAGCAGCACTATGCCCCTCCATAGACTATGATAAAATGATGTTGCAATAAATGACTGTATTTTTTTGTAAAATGATGAAATGCAGATGAATTTTTTCTGTGCTTGTAAAATAAAGATGGCTCGATTTGTCTCGAGTAGTAAGTGTAAGATCATTGTTCATTTCTGGCGTAACACACCTAGGATATTATCTTATTGACATGCTAACAAACCTGTTAGAAAGAATTCTTTTGACTTTATTTGCCAGGATAAGTATGCTTTTATCTCTGCTGATATGAGAGAAACATCATCATGTTTGTTTACTGGGTAAATATTCAGTGCCATTTTGAGACAGCTCTCCAGGTATAAGCTGGTGGCTGTCTCGATGAACACTACACACAGCTAGAGCATCCAACATTAAGGTAACATCATGTAGAAAAGCAGGGACTGAACCACACATTGGAACATTTTCTTAAGGTTGGTAATGTCAATAGAAAGAAGATCTTACAACACAACCAGCAGAAAATTTAAACATATGAAACTCAAGTACAACCCAAAAGTTCAAAATGTGTCTATCTTATAAAAACAAGAAAAATAATATAACTGTATCACAATATAGACACCTGTATCCCATTGCAGAGAAAACACCTAGAATGTACTATACACCTAAGATCTACAAGGAAGGGAATCAGTTATAACCTTTTGTGGACTATACTGGTTCCATTGGTTTACAAGTAGACATGCTAGAAACCCTAGCAAAGACCTTGCAGAAAGTAAGTACACAGTACTTATCCAAAATGATCAGGAATTTATTTTGTAAAATGTAGTATCACTAACAAGATAAACACTCACCTGTGAGGAAAAAATTGGTGGCATTATGCTATCCCTTGGCACCCTCCTAATAAAAGAAGACAAGAGGCCCAGAGGGCCTGTATCGCTCACCTGGATCTTCATGACCAACTGTACAATATCTGTGCATATGTTCCACAGTAGATGCTTAAAGCAATATGACAAATTACTCCATATGGGTTCTGTCCCTTAGTAGTCCAAAATAGTCATTTGTATATAAGCCTTCAATGGCCAAATATGATGGGTTTTTGGTTCATCAGAAGAAGTTGATTAAATATTTACCAAATCTAACCCCAATGACCTTAAATATAATTTTTTCACACACTATGTGGGCACCATTAAGGAAACCTTTTGGACAAATATTATGATCCTAAGACTTTAGCTTAATCAGAAGTTGTTCAAAGGTTTAAAACATTTGATTGTTGTGATCTTGAATATGGGTCAAGGTCATTTCTGTTCTAAAACATTACCGGGCATCATTGACAACCTATTTCGGAATAAAATCACTATCCCAGATGTTTTGGATCATCAGAAAATATAATTTAAAGGTTTAACACATTTGACCCCTGTGACCTTGACTATGGGGCAAGGTCATTCTCTTTGCAAACTTTCTTGGACTTCATAAAAGGAACATACTGGCCAAATATAATGATTCTAGGGTTTTCTATATTTCATCAGAAATTGTTTTAAACACATTTGACCTGTGTGACCTTGAAGATTGGTCAAGGTAATTTCTTTTAGCAAACTTTGTAGGACACCATAAGAGGAACATAGTAACCTAATATAATGATTCTAGGCCTTCCAGTATTTGGGTAGAAGTCGTTTAAAGGTTTTAACACATTTGACCTCAGTGACCTTGAATATGGGTCAAGGTCATTTCTTTTTGCAAACTTTGTTGGGCTTCATCAGAGGAACCTTCCAGCCAAATATGATAACTCTATGCCTTTCGGTATTTCAGAAGAAGTTGTCTATATGAAAAATTGACGGACGCAGGACGGACCGACAGACGGATGAACGGATACCGCGCTATGGCATAAGCTCACTTGGCCCTTTGGGCCAGGTTAGCTAATGATGGTAATATCAAAGTATTGGTCTACAAGAAAAAGACCAATGCCGAAGAACATGACAAGCAGCAAGAACAAAATCACATCCATAGCGTCATGAAAACATGTCAATATCTTGATTGTGGAACCCAGAAATTAACAAGTAAATTACATGAAAGAAAAAAAAACTAAGAAATGAAACACAATGGAAAAGAACAAAATGAAAGACATGTAGTTATTTATATAGTCATCCCTTACATTAAAGGCCTGTCAGAAACCATTCAGAAGATTATTTTTTCTTTTTTTATTATTCAGGTTTTTATCAATAGTCACATACATCAATCACATCACATGCATAACTACACGTCATACGTTGTACTTGTATCTAAAATTAATGCATATAATATAAAATATTACAGTGCATATGAAAACAAAAAAGTACATACTTGTTGACACTGTGTTAACAATACGTTGGAATACGATAATTCACTAATTTATTAACTGATTAATAAAGATCCATTTGTTTTGAATAATTTCTTGTTTTCTAAGGCTGTATCTATATAACCCAATGTCCTCTATTTTTTTATATTGAGAAATATATTTCTTGCATTCAGAAATAGTTACAGTTTTATTTTTTAATTTACACAAAAATATAAAGTATTTCATAAGAAGCATTAAAAAATTGATTTCATATCTGTGTTCTATTTCTACTACACCAAGAACAAAGACTTCTGGATTTCTAGGTAAAGACAATTGGTGTTTGTTTTCTAATAATTCTATTAACCAAAACCAAAGTGTTTTAACAACATTACATTCCCAAAATAGGTGTATAATCGTTTCTATTTCATTTGTACAGAATGTGCATCTTTCTGTTTCTGCAAGTTTACATTTCATTAACTTTGTATTTGTATACAATATCCTATGTAATATTTTATACTAAAAAGTTAGAAGTTTTGTATCATCAGTCATCTCCCTTGATATTAAATAAATTAACTCCCAAGTGTCTTCACTAATGTCAGTATTAAAATTTTCTTGCCATTTTCTTTGACTATTTGTAGGTTTCTCAGAAACAGATTTAATAAAAATTTGATAGAAGTACTTTGTGACTTTGTCATGTGTATTAAGGTAATCAATTAACCTATATTGAACATTTACCATAGGTACTTGAACATTTACATTCTGCAGAATTACTTTCCAGTTCCTTGGAATGGCATTAATCACACCATAGTAATCTATCAGGTTAACATTAATGTTATATTTGTTTTTAAATATATCATATGGCATAAAACGATAATTTTCTAATAAGTCTGAAACAAAAAATATATCATTTTTACACCACTGTTTATAAAAGAACCATTTGTTACCTCTTTTGATAAAATTATTGAAAAAGATAGGCTGTGATATAACTTCTTCAGGGGTTGTGGGGGATACATCTTCCTGTACTGAGGCCCAAGCTGTAAATACGTCACTCCAAAAAGTATTTAACATTTTTGATATCTCAGTTAATCCTAACCTTGTCATTTTAAAAATATTTACACCTCCAACCAATTCTAATTTATCTATAAGTAATGTTTTCCAAACTGAGTGGTTTGAGGTATCAACAATTTTTTTGATCCAAGACATCTTAAGTGAGTGACAAAAAGTCAAAATATGTGGAAAACGCAACCCCCCATTTTTATAATCACTGTACATAATATTTCTCTTTATTTTATCTGGTTTTCCCTCCCATAGAAAGGTAAAGAAACATTTTTATAATTCCTTAATTATATGTAAAGGAGGGTCAGCAAGGACAGTTAATGTCTGAATAAAAATAGGTAAGGCTAATGTTTTTATAATAATAATTTTTCCTATGTAGGATAAATTTCTAAATGACCAATCTTTTAGTAATTTTTGCACTGCTCTCAATTTTTCATAGTAATTATCTTCAAAAATGTTCTCTTTTTGGAAATTGTAAGTAATTCCCAAAAGTTTAAAAATCCCTTGATGGTTCCATAACAAATTTTTTTCAGGTAGAAGTTCCAACCCACAACCCCGTCTAGCCCCAATCCATATTGCCTGGGTTTTGTCAAAATTTATTTTAAGTCCTGATACTTTTCCAAAATCTTCCAAAATATTAAGTGTGGTTTCTAAGGACAATGGGTTATCACTTAAAGTAAAGGATGTATCATTTGCAAACTGATTGATTAAATATTCTGAGTTATTTATAGTAATTCCATTTATATTTGGATTAATTTTTAAGGCTGAACTTAATATTTCTACACATAGTATAAATGTATATGGACTCAAAGGGTCACCCTGTCTCACACTGCGCTGAACTTCAAAGAATTCTGAACAATGACCATTGTTTATAATACAACAATTAGTATTTTTGTAAAAAGTTCTGATCCATTGAATAAATGACAGCCCGAAACCATAAAAATGTAGAGAATCAAAAATAAAATCAAAACTTAAAGAGTCAAAGGCCTTTTCAAAGTCAATTAATAGAAGAAGTCCAGGAATATGATTTTTTTCAGTGTTTTCTAATATGTCCGCAATTAATCTTGTACATTCTCCAATATATCTGCCTTTTCTAAAACCTTTCTGAGTATCACTAATAAGACTATCTAAAATTTTTTTCAACCTATTAGAAATAATAGATGATGCTATTTTATAATCAACATTCAAAAGAGTCATAGGCCTCCAATTTTTCATATATAATTTTGATTTTCCTTCTTTGGGTATACATGTAATCATGCCACAACGCTGTGAGACAGAAAATTGACCATTTGTGTGTGCTTGGTTTAGAGAACGTATCAAAAATTTATTTATATCAGACCAGAAAAATTTATAGAATTCTACAGTGTATCCATCGATACCTGGTGATTTGTCATTTTTCATATTTTTAACAGAAAAGAGACATTCTTGATATTTCAATTTACCTTCTAATTGATCACTTTGTGCAGCAGACAGTTTTTTATTAAATGGGTTTGTATCATCAAAAAAGTTATGTTCATTATTTTCTAAAATTTTCCTGCTATACAGTTTTTCATAGTAAAGTTTTTGCTCTGAAATTATTTCATGTATATTTGTGATCTCTTGTCCATTCTCTTTGACAAGTTTTGGTATAAGTTTCTCTTGGAAGTGTCTCTTCTCTAAATTACAGAAGTATTTTGTACTTTTTTCACCTTCCACCTTCCATCTTGATTTTGCTCTTAAGAGAATACCATTAATTTTTCTTTCCCTAAGTAGTTTTAATTCATTTTCAACCATCTGAATGAGCTCTGGGTTCCTATGTTCTGCTTTTTGTAATTTTTCTAACCTAACTTCTAACTGTTTTTCTTCCCTGTCTTTTTCTCTCTTTTTCTGTGCTGTATAAGCAATAGTCTTTCCCCTAATAGTAAATTTTAAGGTTTCCCACACTAAAGAGTCACTAATAGCAAAAGTTAACAGATCTTTATTCTCTACTTCAGGGTTTTCTGCATATTGATCTGTTATATTATTTATACACTCTTCAACTAAATTTACATAATTAGGATCTCTTAGCACACTGTTATTAAATTTCCATGTTACCTTTCCCCTTTTTTGTTTAATAAATTCTAAAACTACTGATATTGGACTAAATCCTATGTCACTATTTATTACATAAGACATTAAATCAGAGGAGATCAAGAAATAATCTAATCTTGCCTGTTTTTGATTTGGACCATGCCAAGTATGAAAGTTAACATCCTGATGTTGTTCTCTCCAGATATCTACAAGATCAAAAGATTCCATAATATCTATAATTTTACCCTGGTTTATCATATTATTTCTATTTATATAATTTTAAGTATCATTAACATAATCCTGTGGTGCATTCCAGTCACCACCTATAATAAAAGATGTATTTTCACAAAGCTCAAGATGGTGAGATAGTTGATGATAGAAGTTGATATCTGTATTATTTGGTCCATAAACTGCAATCAAAGTTAAGTTTTTATCACATGAAGTAAGGTTAATATTTACAATTAAGAAATTACCATTTTTGTCTTCTTTCTTAGATAACAGTGAAAAACCAAAAGAATTTTTAAACAAGATTGCAACCCCTCTACTATTTGACTCATATAAACTAAACCAGGCTTCATAGCCCCATTCCATTTTCCATAAGTTTTCAACCTTTTGAATAGAATGAATATCTATAAGAAAAATAATATAATTTTTTCTACATCTTTCAAACAGGTCTCTGCGCTTTGATGGATCTGAGGACAATCCCCTACAATTTATACTTCCAATTCTAAGACCTTCAGTCATAGTTTAATACATGTATGGTGTATTCGAAAGATTCTACATTTGATGCAGTTAAAAGTAACACTAAAATTGAGCATGTGCCTATATATCCATTTTTGGTAGATATTAAGTGTATGTATCCATGTGATGTAACATCATAATATGAGACTATGTTTTCCAAAAACAAAAACAAAAGATCCCCTCCCCCCATCCTTCCCTTTCTAATCTTCAATGAGCATAAATGGCTCATCTCACTCTCCCAGCTACAAATCATTTCAAATATTAAAAAATAAAAGAAACTCATTGTGCTTTCATCCTACCTACTGGTGACCCCATATGAATATTTAGAAGACATTAATATGAATTTATGAAACTGGCGTACCATGTACACAAGAATTTTATGTTTACAACTACATTTATAAACATATAAAGCTCCATCAAAGTTTTGATGTATATTAATTTAACCCAGAACACTTTATTTTTATACTGTACCATGTTTAGACATGTTATTATTACGAAATACATTTTCATTTCACAACAATCAAAATTTTAGCAACTAAATATATATATATATATATATAAACCTACTAAACATTTACTGTGTCTATTGATGTAAAAAAAAAAAAAAAAGTTCTGCTGGAGCTCACATGATTATTGACATGTGTTAATTTTAACATACTACATTATTTAACTATGCCTCTGACATGTAATGGAAATTTCAGTTTGATTTTACCTCCCTTAGACATATTACTGTATATTCGACTATCTTTTGTCCCACGGGAGTAAGGAAGATACTCCCTACTTCTTGTTACTGACGAAACCATGTAAAGGTTTAACATGCTTAACTTCCGGTTACAATAGTTTATGAAAACGGAAGGCTATCAAAAGATCCGGAAATCGTAAAAAACGTCTAAGGGAGGTAATTCATCACAAAAAGACTAGACTAGGTATTCGTAAAAGAAAAATAATAATAATAAAGCACACACATTTAAATTTAATTCATCCGTGGGTTACCATTGATAACATTGGCATTTTTACTACCATGCTAAATATATTTTCATTTCAACAAAATAATATTCATTTTAGCAATTTAAATAGCGTATCTTGTACAATGTGTTTAAAGCAAAATAGATTTCTGAAAACTGTATTTAATTCCACTGAAGACTTGACTTCAATTAATTTCTGAAGACATATTGATATTTTTACTAACATGTCTAAAAATATGGCATTTCATTTCAACAAAATTAATTATTTTATCAACTTTTTCAAGACCAAGGCCCAGACAGTTTTTTCCCCTCCTTCTTTCTCAACATTCAGAAGATTAAGCCTGGTCGTGGCATTACAACAATGAAACCTGACAAGACTTTCCATAATGTCCTAGTCCATCTTAAGGATAAAATGTCCAAAGAGAATGTCATGCGTAATCAAAATTGGATCCAAGACCTGTGATGCACCATATATCAGAGAAACAAACAGGAGTTTCTGGGTCAGATTAAATGAACGTCAGAAAGAGGCAGAATCCCAAGAAGGCAAAAAATTCACTTGATCAGCAAGAAAGCATTCTCATTGGGAAAATTTCAAAATAGTCGCCGGGGAAATCAACCCTTTCAGGTGGTTGGTTAAGGAGGCAATCTGGATATGATGCAACTGAAAATGATTGTTTACTGTTTTGATTGATTTTCTATTTGGCATGGCAGTTTTCATCCTGCTCCTATACGTGTTTTTTTATTTTCCTACCCATTCATTCCTTGTATTTGTAAAGAAATGTAGTACTGCAAAATTAAAGGGAGATAAGCTCGTAAGCTGATAAACGAGTCTTATTAAAATTGTTAAGCATGGCCACAGTATTCTTCAATTTAAATCTCACGTATTAGCAAGATAGATAATTGTGAAAACGTAAACGATCAGAACAAATATTACATTTCCAGTGTCATTGCCTTGGTTACCTTTACTTCAGCAACTGTCAGATCTTTCTGGAATCTCCTTTCAGACCCAAAAGTATTTCCTGTACTTGTCACTCTGACAGTTACAACACTTTGAGTAACAACAGAATATTGTTCAGACATGGTAATGTTTTCTCTGCTAGACACCTCTATATCAATGAGGATAAATCTTAATGTGTGTCCAGTTCTGCCCAGTTTAGAACATGTGCTCTCCTGTCATTATTTTTGTTAGCATCTCGAAATCACGTTATTTAGATCACGTGACCTTTAACTTGATCTTGAATTATGTGTTTTATCACTTATGTATGCTCTTGTATGGAACTAAATTTATGCTTATTAAGCAATTTTGTCGCTGAATACCGAGTGGGTGTCGATATACCACCACAGTAAAAGAAAATTCGATAAAAAATTGATCGATGATGTCATGAACTGCGAGATTTACAGAAGAAGATGGCGGCCACTGAAAGGCAGTGGTATGTGGGAGAGGACGGATGTATATCCGTTGGTGAACCAGCCAACGACGTCACATACCATTCTGCATTGAATTCCATCATTGTATCAACTAAAGAACCATCCGTAAAAATTTATGATGTGGCCTCTGGAGCCATCTTACAAAAATCAAGTCTTTCCGGTACGCCTCTTCGGAGTAAAATTATATGAATTTATATATTGCACAACTGAATTCCGTCAAATTGTCCGTAATTTAGTGGCGCAAGAGATACCCATGTATTACTTCGACTCCTCTTGTAAATTTGTGTTATGATATTGTGTAACTCATTTCGAAAGTTGCTACATGTCATTAGAAAATTCATTTCCCCCAGGTTCAGTGATTATTGGTTAGAATTATGTTCTGTCAAGGCCATTATTGCAATGTTTTGTTCTGGAGTAGTTCGAGATCATATCTTTTATTAGACACATACGGACAAGATTGAATTCAACTTATATATGAAAATGATAACTGTCAGAAAAATGTGCACCCAGTCATGGGTATATGAATACATACTAACTATATGGCAACAACTTCCTGTGACAAGTTGTACTGTTGTATTCTTCCATTAAGAAATGAAAAATAGAAATAATGAATTATCCCCAGACAAAAAATAAGATTTTATTTGTGATACACAATGAAGTGTTACTGGATTAGGTCCTGTTTATTGTAATTTAAAAACAATATCAACTATATCAGCAAACATACTTCATGATAATTTTCAACTCATTTTATTGTACAAATTGCTGGATGATGCATTTATGAATATCTGAAAGCAAAATTTGATTTGAGGAAACCATGGCAGAATTATTTCATTCCTGCTTCTTACCAAATTTGTTAAAGAATTTTCAAGGGAGACTGCTGTTAATGCTTAGTTTGCCTTCAGTTTTAATTGTCATTAACTGCTATAGGTTGGCTTACATCCCTTCTTTTTGTATAACATTGTGTAATTTCTGATGCTAGAAGTTAGGCATCTGGCCTGTATCTTTCCTGTCTTGTTTAGCTGTATTTTAAAGCTGATTTTATAAATGACCATGAAATCCTTGGTTAAAAAATTACTGACATGCAAAAGAGCTAATTTATTTATCTACTTTAGCCCAGCTTTGTTCTACGACTTAATTGATTATGCATTTTCTATGGTAATCTGAAAAAAAAAGAAAATATTTCATAAAAAGACCATAAAAGCACTGTTTCACCTGTATGCCGAAATTGATCATTGTTTGAAAGTTAAACTATAATTAATTGACGATAGTTAGCAAATAATTTGATGCATGTAAACTATTAATAAGCCATATAATTCACAAAGGTTGATCCTCCATCCTTCTTACTTTTATATTAATTATTTGATTTTCACTATCAATTTATATACAAAGTCACCAACATCTGTAAATGGTCAAGGCAATTTTCTTATACCAGGTACTTCCCATTTTTGTTCACAGCACAAGGCAAAGATGCAGTTAAATGTGTGTATATATCTGGAAGAGACAGAATAGTATTTTGTGATCAAAATGCTGTTGGAGTGCGGAGTGACCTGAGGGGTATGATCCTTTTGGACACTTCTCTACAGCCTCCAGTATCAAAGGCAGAAGACTTGGTCAAAGTGGAGATACCCTTAGTGGAGGTATAAACATGCAATTAAATGAAAATACGTTTGATAGTTAAAGTTATTACTTTCATTCAGAATTATTTGGTCTATTCAAGGCTTCAGATAACCAACATTTTCAATGTTTTTGCACTTCAGTTTCTTTTGAAATGCTATAAAGAATATTTCTGTGGGTACAGAAAAGGCTGATTTAAAAGAAAATGAATGTGCCCAAAATAATGTGCCTGAGCATGTTGTTTAATATGATGAATGTAAGATCAAACATAACTGTCTCAGGTATTAATTAACTTGTCGAAAGCTGCAATCAAATGCACTGGTCGTTATTTATAATTATTACCTCCCTTGCCAAGAGTAGTAACAGTTTCAGTATGACAAGCTTGTATGATGTACCAACTTATTCAAGGAGATCCTGGAAAATGTCGATTAACTCCTGAAAGAATGCCATCAAATAACATGCAGCTGTACATGAAATGATTGAAATATTGACACCAATATCTACCATGAGTAGAATTTCAAAATCAATTGAAAAATAGAAAACTGTGTGGTTTTATATCAGTCATAGAGATTTTTTCAAGTCAGTTTTCCAAGAAAAAACAGAAAAGAATCTACCCAAAACAAGTTTTTTTTACTCCAACAGCCAGAAAGTTATCTGGGGCCCTGTCTATTCAGTATTCAGAAATTTAATCTACCAACAGTTTTCGTGAACGTTTTCGTTACTGAGTTAAACTGCATGATGGATATTTTAGCCCTGAGATTATCTGCACTTGGGTTTTCCTTCCATAAGTTAATTCAGGACACGTTTACATCTCAGTTTGACAATATTTTGTTGAATGCGTTTTTGATACAATCATGTTAACTGAAGAAACATACATAGGTATGTGAAAATAAGTAACAATTTATGTTCCTATGCAAATTAATCAACAAAATAATGAAGAAAATATTGTTAATATGTTGATAGCTTGCCTGTATACTTGTTATGCTAGTGCAGAGCAGTACTTTCCTAGTAACAGTAAGAAACAATCCACTTTGCATGAATGAAAAACTTTGCACAAACAATTGAGCTACAGCCACTGAAAACAATGACAGCCTGAGCAGTCAATAATGGCTTATTTTTATAATAAATTCTCGATCTCAACTGCATGCCCCCATGTGCAAACTCATTTCGGGAACCCAAGAAGGACAACTCAAATGTAGGTAGCACAACACTACTAAATACAGCGCATCAAACTAACGTAATATCAAGATATATCAAAAATATATCCCTAAAGCAGGGAGATAATTAGCTATTCCTTATATCAACATAAACAAAACAATTAGGAGCGTGGTGACAGTTGTATTAAACTCTGGTACTTTGTATATGGTACAGTACTAGTTTTGTCAAAAAAAAATGTTTTCATATTTTTACTATTTCTTTGGATTTACATATACAAGCAAACATTTCCCTGGTTAGATGAAATCAAACACTCAGTATTTTCAAAAATGCATCACCTAGATATATTTATTTGTATCACTTTACTGGCAGAATTTAAAACGTATTATTCCCTGATAGATACCCAATATCATATTCAAATTTGATAGTTATTTGTCCTTAGTGAATCAGTTTTCACAAACATTTTGATTTGAATAATTTTGGAAAGTGATTCCAGTATTTTCTTTAATAGATAACCTTTTTTCAATTTCTTATAATTCTAAATTATCATGTAGTTCTGCACCAATGAGTTTTAGATCATATATAATACCATATATTGAAGACATAAACATCATTTCTCTGCTATTACTCTAAGCGTGTCTACCTTATCAACACTGACTTTAGATGTATACTAAATCAACTTCATAAAATAACATACAAATATGTATCAGGTAATTTTGTATAAGTGTCCTAAGTCAGAGGGCTACAATGCCCAGCAGATAATCTTGTTTAAGTATCCTAAGTCAGAGGGTTTCAATGCCCAGCAGATAATCTTGTTTAAGTGTCCTAAGTCAGAGGGCTACAATGCCCAGCAGATGATCTTGTATAAGTGTCCCAAGTCAGAGGGCTTCAATGCCCAGCAGATAATCTTGTATAAGTGTCCCAAGTCAGAGGGCTTCAATGCCCAGCAGATAATCTTGTATAAGTGTCCCAAGTCAGAGGGCTTCAATGCCCAGCAGATAATCTTGTATAAGTGTCCCAAGCCAGAGGGCTTCAATGCCCAGCAGATAATCTTGTATAAGTGTCCCAAGTCAGAGGGTTTCAATGCCCAGCAGATAATCTTGTATAAGTGTCCCAAGTCAGAGGGCTTCAATGCCCAGCAGATAATCTTGTTTAAGTGTCCTAAGTCAGAGAGCTACAATGCCCAGCAGTTAATCTTGTTTAAGTGTCCTAAATCAGAGTGTTACAATGCTCAGCAGGGTCCACTATTTTTTTTATTTATTTATTTTTTTAAAGCGTACTGCAGTAGTGTTTAAACCCTAAAACATACACCAAAGTAGAGTTTCTTTTCATTTTTTTAAAACCTTGACCTTGACTAAATTTGGTATTTAAGCACTCTGATGTGAAAAAAATGAAAAAAGAGTTTCCAATTGAGATTCCAACCCGCTTTCTTTTGATCATGCTGCATTCATCCTTAATTCTGGTCGTCATCAATTTGGTTAGGAATTTTCTGTCAGTTGTCTGATTAAAACATTTCACCAGGTGATGAAATTTTACAAACATAAACACACAATTAATTCATCATGGTTCTTACACTTCTGAATTGATAAGAATACTTAACGGACAGATACATCCACAGTTCAGCACATTCAATAGGTTTACAGCAGCTGGGATATATGTTGCTATATTTAGAACTTTTCTATCGCGTGAAAGAAGTGGTAACATATGACAAAGTCAGGAAATGTCAATTATTAATGAACGAAAATGATGTGAAATATGCAGGCAAAGTCATATTTTAAGTTTGACTTCTTTTTTCTAAACTACAACTAAATTTCAGCCATTAAAATCAGCCAGTTGTTATGCCAGGATAGGGCTAAGGTCTGCTGATGCATGAATGCGTTTTTGTCAATTTTTTGTACATTACTTTGCGAGTGTATTAGTGGAAAAGATAAGTAAGGTGGGGGCTTTTTTTTATTAAGAAGTACAATGATGAACCTATGAATTGTTTGTTACATGCAGTATTTTATTGTGTATCATAGGCTATTCAGCTGCTGAAGTCATTAGTCAGTGCAGAGCTCCCGGGAGTGGATCATGTAGATGATGTTGTGAAGGAGCTGGAAAAAGGGATAGAAGTTGTGCAGGAATCCACAAAAGGAAATCTTAAAACATCCAAGGTATATTAAAGTAGTTTGCTCTTCTCACCCCAATAAAAGTGATATCTGAATACTCCATATCAATATTTTCTCTTTAATGGGACATTCTGCTCGGCTGAAGAGTCACAGCATCTTTAACATTTTGTATTTTGTAAGATGTTTATTTATAATAGTGATCTAAAATTGCAATATTTCCTCCATTTTCAGTGGGCAACAGTTTGTGTAGAGCTTCCCCATGCCATCCTGAAAAGTGTATGTTCAAGTCTTGTGTCAGAGATGAGGAGACTGATGGTGTACAACCCAGGTTTATCAGTGGCTTCAGCTATAAGTGACAGACTAACATACCTCTTGCCCAACCCACAGCAATTGGAGGGCACCAGTGCCCCATGTGAGAGAGCTATGATGTATAGTGAGGCAGCACGACAAGAGACCTTCAAAAAGTGGCCACATATGAATTACAAGTGTGTACTGAGTCTTAAAACTAAAATCAGTTTGGATACCTACATACTTATTTCTCATCTTGAAACTCAATATTAGCCTTTCAATTACTTTTTTGTTCACTTCTACTTTTTCCAGAGAGCTAAATATGATTGAAACATCTGAAAATTCACAATCACAGAAATATAATGTTTGAAAGAATAAATTGTTGTCTAGACAATAGGAAAATTTAATGTTTGTTTAAACATATAATTATGTACATTTAATGAATTGATGTCAGTTTTGTTTATGTTTCTATTACACAATTCTTATGTTTAGAATGAACTTTCATTTTATAGATGGGCTTTACCAGATCCTATGTCCCAGGCAGGCTTTTATCACCAGCCCAATTCTATCGGAGATGACAGAGCCATGTGTTTTACTTGCAATGTGTGCCTGGTGTGTTGGGAGCCTACAGATGAACCCTGGTATGACTGATGACAAATGCATACAATTAGCAATTCAGCAATTATCCATTTTTGCTTTTCATACATGATAGTATTCTCCCAAGCCAGTATAGGTGTCGTAGTTCACCACTCTTGAATTTTGTTGATGCTGGATGAATTAGATTTTAGAGACTGAAATTTGTAAATAATTTATAATGTAGATTATAAATGGCTGCAAATGTAGGATTGAACTTGAGACATAAGATTTATCTGTAAGAAAAGTGTAGTATTTTTTTAAGAAAAAAAAATCTGTACACTTGGATAACAATTTTCCCTCTGTGAGGTTTAATTAAACAGATTTATTGTATTGACCACTGTTTCAGGTCTGAGCATGAAAGACATTCACCTGCTTGTCCATTTGTGAAAGGAGAATACACACAGAATGTACCTCTAAGTGGTAAGTACATACAGAATGTGCCTCTGAGTGATTAATACATACAGAATTTACCTACAAGTTTGTTTGTGGAGAATTTACTTCTTGGTGCAAGTGCACTCAGAATTTACCTCTAAATGGCAAGTACACTCATTATTAAACCACTAAGTGGTAAGTACACACATAATGTGCCTCTGAGTGATTAATATCTTTGCTAAAGTTTATCTGTTTAGTATCTGGTTGACAAAATTGAATAAACATTTAAAAATGATTGAATATGAATTTTTTATTTGTCTGTAAATTTCTAAACTGAAACTATTACAACTTCTTTCTGCAGTTACCTATGCAAGTCAGCCAGCAAGGAGACATGGGGACAGCAATGAAAAAGTTTGTACAAACACTATGGATGCTGTTGATTTCACTCTTTTTGATTGGCCAATGATAAGTTAATCAGATTTCTGAAAATACATTAATCTTAAGGTATCATAAATCAACATCTTTTTGTTACGTTTTACTTTAATCGGGTGAGCTTCATAGTTTTCTTTTCATTGTTTTGAAATCGAAATGTATCTGTATATAATGAGTTAACAATTGAAATTTATATGTCCTATAATTTTGCATGTTCTTTAATGTGCTTCACTGAAAACAGTACACAAGCTTTTAGTTTTCAAAATGGCGAAATATCTCTACACAAATATTTATATGGAAATGTTTAACTGTTAATTGTTTTATGATTTTGTAAGATGGTATATATTGATTTCTTTTCCATTTTGAAAAGATTGAATGTCTGAGTACAACCAATACAGATGATTTTGTGGCAACATCTACCTTGAATGGAAACATCGTAGTGTGGAACATCTCCAAGATTTCAAAGGTAATTAACTGCCATTTACCTGCACAAATAAAAACCAAGTAAGATTAAGATTTATCACTTTCTGAAGTCATTAATTAATTTTTTTGATGTATAGAATTAATAGCCCATATAACAGGTATTGAAGTCAAAGCTATACCATATATATGCATCTATGTATCAATGCAAATAATTTATTCTTTTAGAAAAATGATTTTTTAAAAATCACTTTTGTAAAAGAAACATTATTTAAATTTTTGTTTTATCTTTTTGATACCATTAAGTTTATTTGAAAAAAAGTATTGTGATGATGCTTGAAAACAAAGAAAGTCCTTTGTTTTGAATTGTATTAAAGGGGACTTAACTCTTTCCTTTTTTTGACATTTATCTTGATAATTGAAGATTGAAGTCAGGAAAAATGATATTTTATTAACTAAATCAAAATTGGTTTCTGTTACAGAAACACTGTCAGTTTAATCTGGATCCAACTGCCACTGTCATTGCAATGAAGACTGGTCTGCAGATTGACCGCCCGAGTGTGAGAGAGATCCACACTCAGACCACAGATGTTGAGTCTTCAGAAGGTGCTGAGCAGTGTGAAAGGTATATACTTCCTTTTTGTATTCCTAACACTAAGCTTTTAAAAACATGATCCTGTATAATCTTTATTTTAACAAATTACCAAAGTTATGCAGACAATGAGTTTAAGATATTGTTCATCTGGCTTAGAAGATTGTATTGATAGACTCTTTTTTTTTTTTTAAACTTAGAACTTTCAAATACATTTATATTATAGCAATATTGACCTAGCATCCATCCAGTGTTCTCAAAGAAATATGTAATGCCCATAAAATTCATAAGAGCATACTAGTCACAAAGTAGCTATTTCTGAGTGTGATTTGATGGTATCTATCCATCATCCATCAAAGCTTGTAAAGTACTCTCACATTGATGTAAATTTGACTTTGATAAACTTTGAAGGTCACAGATGTGTGAGGTTTTTGCCAAAACATTTAATGACAGATGAGTCGTTCTCTGCCTGTTTCTTTTCTGTTTATAATATATACAGGGTTTTCCATAAGTTTGTTAGTAGTAGGCTGTGTAGTGAAAGTAGGAGGCTGGCCTGCCATGTACGTGTAGTCGTGTACGGAACATTATCACGGAACTGGATTGGTGTAGGCGGCCAAATGATCAAAGTAGCCGGTCAAATTGGCCAGCGACCGGCTCTTATGGAAAACCCTGATATAGGTATACTTTGCTACATAGCATTAGAAAAAAAAACTTCCACATTGTAAGTACACTATATTTCAGCATAACAAATGGTGATGGTGGAAGTGATGAGAAACCTGAATTTTTATCGACAAATGGCTTAGATGTAAAACAAGATGATGATAAAGTGAAAGAACAAGAATCTTTGTATGAGATACCACTTCATAGCAAACCGGATAAATCAGGTGAGTTCCATTAGTAAGATAAATTCAACTCGCACAAAAAGAGGAATATGTGTATTCAATTAAGGTGTTAATACAATGGTAAATATAACTGAAAAAAAAAAGAAATTTAAACATGTCATTGAAAAATAAATGTCTTTATAATGTATATGCTGGTTTCAAGATGTTTGAATGTTATTATTACTTTTAACAGAAGCCAGTACACGGTCCCGGCCTTGTGAAGATGTGTTAGTGAAATCCTTATGTGTCCTTAGAAAGCCCAATCCAGAAAAATGGTCTTCATCAAAACAAAGCAGTAATGGAAATAGTGGTACAAAATCCAAAAGGAAATCCAGATCTTATCCTCAACCCACAGTAGTGTGTGGGGCTTCCCTCAGGCGGACTAATCTCACACTAACTAACAAGGAGGTACAAAACACTGATATCACAACAGAAGTTCAGCTCATGAATGAAGTTAATGAAGTGGTAAGTGGTGATTCTAATCCAAGGATTATTGAGGACGAAGATGAGGAGGATGAAGATGAAGCATGTCATGATGAATTGTTGAATTCTACTGAATTTGTGCCACATATACTTTTGTTAGCTGTTAAAGATGATAGTAGAAAAAGTAGTAAACACAAGGAAAAGGAAAGTAAAAAGGTTTCCTCCTCTTTATCGACTAGTGGGTTGAGTTATGTTAATGTACCAGTGCTAGGGTCTGGAGACAGTGTTACTGTCAGTAGTAGTAATTGGGCACAGATGGATCCTATGTTTGATCCTGATCCAGACCCAGATGTTCAGATAACCGGGATCACCCCTGGACCTAGTACCAACTTCACTGGTACCATTAATGTGTCCACAACTGTGACCAGTGACAGTTCACCTGTGGTTGTTAAGGAACACAATGGTCCAACTGATTCTGAGCCTGCAAAACCTGACATAACTAGGAAGGCCGAAGATGTAACTATACGAAATACTTCAGTGACATTAAAGTTACGAGCTGGGGCTGTGTTACAATGTGTAGAACTCCCAGAGAATCTGCGGTCTGACAATTTTGAAATTTCTCATATTATTCCTACATTAGATGGACAACATTTGGTGGTGGTTGTGAAGCCGAGAATTAGACATTGGAATGCGGCTGCTTCAGCGGAGAACAACACTGTGATATCCAACTCGGTAACAAATAACTGTGATGAAATTCAAACTGCTTCTGAGGACCTTAGCTCACCTAGCTCTGTGTCTGATATGGATTTAGACTTGCAAAAGGATAGTGAGAGAAATGGGGACTGCCAAGGGGGCTGTATATTAGTGTACAGTTTTACCTATGGTAGTGAGTATGCAGTGTTGGACGAGTCACCTGTTGTAATCAGGTGTATTGACAAACTTAGTCAGGGTGTGAAAACTGTTCTGGTGCTTCCACACGACGTGTGCGACCTGCAAGAGGATGACGATGACTTTGCAGTGTATGGACAAGGGGGTCAAGTGCCAAATTCAGTCTCTAATAGGCCATCTGCTGGCATCCATGGTCAGATAGCTGTTACTCTAGTCAGTGGTAAAGTGTGGCTTCTCAACCTTTGTGATCTCAGTCGGGTTGCAGAGGTCAGTCCTCCAAGGGGAGACATGTTTGTTTCTTCTACATACTGCACAGGTAATTTTTCAATATTTAAAGAAAAATAGTTGTCAGAACTCAACCAATATTGAAGTCAATATGTAATCATCATTAGTTTGTAGACCAAAGTTTTTGTATTTATAATTGTTAATAGATACATGCAAATAGGTAAGTTGTAAGATAAAGTGTAACTGCTTTTTAACCTCCATGATGTAATCTGTTTGATAGAACAGATACATAAATAGGAAATTAATTTTAATAATAACTTGACACAATAATCCAATTTCATTGTACAGGTATATATGCACACCTTGAGGAACATTAGGAAAATGTTTGCTAATTTTGCAGGTATTGAGCGACTATGTATATGTACAGCACAAGGAAAGCTTCATTTCTACCAGCTTTGTGACCACGGTCCACCTGAAACAAAGACAAATCCACTCGACTCACCTGATGGACTGTGCAATGGAGAATTTCCTGTTGAGTTTGACACAGCGCAGAGTAAGCCAGAACAGGAGAGCAGAGAGTCTACAGATAAGTGCAGTCCTGGTTAGTTGTAGCTGGTGATGAACATGCATGGGGTATTTAGAATAAGTATGAATGAAGGTGCAATTTCAGACCAGTGTCTCATAAAAAACACTTTGTCATTAGCAAGTAATATAAACTCAGACAGGTTCTGTTGACTTGGTTACTCAACATGATGTGCAAAAGCAGGATGGTAATTGATTTGTGAACAGTGTTCAACAGTTCCCAATATATTTTTTTTTCAAGTCTCCGATTCCAGTCAAAAAAAGTTATATATTATGTTGTAACATTATTACTAGAAATTTGATTATTTGGCACAATCTTGTTTATATTGCAGAAAATCACTGATTGTTAAGTATTGAAAATTTCAATGTATTTACCTCCAATGTCAGATACAAAATAATTCCCTTGTAAGTTCTCCCAATATGAAACACTTTGAATTGTGATAATATCAATATATTAAAACCATTTGTTCTTCTCCATTAGGGTCTGACATGCTTGCCATGCAGCCTGTCAATGTAGAGAATCTGGTAATCCTACATAACTTGATTCAGTTTGAGAATCTGATGCCTCGATTTACTGCAACTGTGCCAGCTTGCTGGACAGAGATCCAACAGGAACAACAACAGCGACGACACCCTCAGCACCTACAACATCAAGGAGAAGCTACTCAACACACAAGGACATGGAAACTTCAACAGGATTGGTGAGTTTTCTTATTTCCTACTTAATAAACTTACATTTGAGGCTTTTCCTGAAATATATGTTTGGGGGAGGACTGAAGGAAACACTGAAAGGAACAAAATATGGGTGTTGGAGTTTTAAATTTCATGAGGTGTCATAATTATTGTTTCTCTTGTGCGAGTTTTGATCATCTTTTCGCAAATATGACCATAAACAAATATGTGTTCCTTTAAAGTAGCAAATCCATAATTTGCTTGTTTGACATAGCAACTTAAAAATTCTAGGAAATATATATTTGTCTTTTCAGCAATACTTGGGAGGAACACATGTTGGAGATAGTCTTGCCTCGACCTTGCTGTGTTGGACATGTGGATGTCAAGTTCACATTACAACCCCAGTGTAGTAATCCACCAGACATACAGGTGACACTGCTCAAACAAAATATCACTAGTCTTGGTCGTCAACCCACCATACCATCAAGTCCAAGTAGTGCTGATGTGGACAAAGGAATAGACTTTGGTATGTCCAGAGCTGGCAGTAGTTCTGAATCACAGGAAAATTACTGTAAGCCAACGGAGAGCTCTAGCAATAATGTTCTGGATCCTCTGTTCCAGGAAAGTCATAATGCTGAGATACTTTGTGGCCCTATTAATCTTTCTTCTTGTTTAGATCTATCTGGTAATAGTGGTATTATCACTCTTACAAGTCCACAGCTGATGAGCTCAAAGCCAAAAGCTTTCCTCCTGCACTTCAAAGGGTTTGCTCAGAACAAAAATTCAGACGACAAAACAAATGACAAACCGAAGGTAAGCATGTCCCCTTTTTACAGATTATTATCATCTCCACTCGAAATCCATTTACCATGTCATTGTATTTCACTTTCTTCTAAATGTGTGCCCAACATGTGAAGCCCCAATTGATGAGTGTAAATTATATCTTTTCTTCATATTTAGCGAGGTACCAAGTAAAAATGATTAAACATTTGTATCTAACTGTGCTAGTGTAACTATAAAGGTACCTGGTTTTCATGAATTCCTTAGAGGTTTTGAGTTTAAAACTCTGATCATTATAAATAAACTTTGATGGTGAGTAATTTTGTTGATGTGTGTGTAGGATTCCAAAAAGAAAACTGCACCAGCTACAAGTACAGCTCAAAAGATGAAGGTAATGAAGACTGCATTTGACAATGATCTGTTTGTACCACTTAAGGAGACTGTAATCTCAGCTCTGCCCAGGCCCAAGTTACCTGAGAATTTACAGGGCTGTGATTGGATACAGGAGCTGTCTATCACCATTAGGAAGTCCAAAAAGTTGGCACTTCCAAAAGAAAGGTATACACTTTAACTCTCAACTGCCATTTGTAATAATCTTTATGAAATAACCATGAAAAATATTGACAAAGTGTCCTACTTTAAAAGTTATGATTCTGTCGGCCACTAACATCTTTTCTGTCCTTCAGATACATTTATATCTTCATTTAACAAAGTAGTTGGAACATTTTGAGGTTGATTTATTCCCTTCACCTGCCAATCTATCGTAATTTAAGTAATCAATTTGTACATCTTATCATTAATAAAATCTTTCAGATTACAGAGAATCTCGATGATAGAAAGTACTGACTTCCATGAGAATCTTTTGTCAGCAGTAGGCTGTGAGGATGAGTTTACTTTTGGTGGGGTTAGTAAACAACAGTGGCAGGATATGATACTAGATATTCTGATGTGGATCACTGCTGTACAGAACAAGGATCCAGAGAAAAAGTAGGTTATAATACATGTTGTAAGCATACTTTATATGGCACAAATTTGGCTGCATTTTTGGCATATTGTGCAAGTTTGAATTTGGGCCTCCACAATAATTGCTATGTAAACCACATTAAGAAACTGCATTTAGCATGATTATGTTGGGCAAAATGTTGTCAGTGAAAAGCATGAATATTAGGTTACCATTAAAATATGTGTGTTAACAGGTCTTAGGAGATTAAATGTTGATTTTAATTAAATCTAGATATAATATTGTAATTATCTTAAATGATTTATAACTGATAAATTTTGACACAGAACAAGGTGGTTGCCAGTCACAGATACAACAAAATAAGATTATCATTTCTCAAAAGATTTTATCATACCTCTGGTTTTAAGCATGTAGTTACAGCTGCCACTTTTTCAGACTTATTTTTTCTACAGTGTGAAAAAGATAACTTGAAAATTATATACATATATTCATAAATGTGTAAGATATTTGTTTATTATAGATTCAGTGTTATTGTGGTATTAGAATTCTTAAATCATTGGTTTGATACACAAATATTGATTGCTGAATCATTGATCAGACAACATTTGAATTAAAGTCTTTAGGATACTAGACACTATACCCAGTACATTGTTCTTTAAGTGTTAAAATCAAAAAGTTTGTATGTATTGAACTGATGAACATTTAATGTTACAGAAGTTCCCGAAAGTCTTTGCCACAGACAATTCAAAGTAAACTTGGATCTTTGATCAAAGCTTGTTTCATCTACGGGTCACGTACCACAGCTCACAAATGTTCAAGGCTACTAGCTATGTGCATGGAGTAAGTTGTAACACTTTGATATGTAGATATTATTCATAATGACATAGTCAATAATAATAATTCTAGATTGAAATGCATATCCTTCACATTTAAAATAACATGAAACAGTAACTGAAAAATATTTTTTATAGCAGTTTTAACTAATGATACATGTGTATGTTTTAAAGTGTTTGGTGGATCAGTATCTGGTACAGAGTCTGTACATCCTATAATTATCATTGACTCCCAACAAATAACACAAGAATTTTAGATCACTACAAACTTGGTCCACAGTTTATTCAACAAAAAGAGCTTAACAATGAAAACTATTCAGTGTAATAGTTCTGATTGTCAGAAGTACTTTTACAACATATAGAAATGGCAGTTTTATTTGATTATGTATGACAATTTAACTGCTGATGCCACTGCCCTGATGTTGAACATCTTAATATTTTTCAGTCACAACAAGCATTCATCTGATACTGATGTGTCCCCAACCTTCAGCTGGGGTCTACTGCATGCTTTACTGGAGGCTCTTAAGCTGCTTCCATCTGCTCACTCAGCTGGTGCAGTCAAGTGGTTTTTCAGTATGCTCAACCGTGTTAAGTGTGTGGATACAACAACAGTTGCCCAGCAATGTGCTGAACTCATGATGTTCACTGCTAAACATTACTATGACAGACTGTTGCCTCTACATTCACTACTGAAGTCTAGGTAAGGTATTTCAGATTACACATTAACAATTACAATAATAAGAACTTTTAAATTGTCGATTTGATAGTTATAATCAACTTTCATTACTGTATTTATTTCTCTCTGATGGAATTATCTTGCATTAAGTTCACTCCATATCTTAAGTTAGGGTAAATGTGTTTGCCTGTTAACTTATTGAAGGATTGGTGTCGTAACTGTTTTAGTAAAATAACTCTACATCCTATGTAATATAACATTGTTTGATTATGATTATCTTATCAGCAACACGTTGATCTTTGAGTGTCATGTTAGGTTTAAACCAAGGCCTACTACTCCCCTAATTGTAGGTGGGTTGGGGGTCGGATTATTTGAACCACAAGTTTTAGAAAAAAATAGTTGTTTTTGCATACTGATGTATGCAAGGGTTTTATTGAAATATCACTTATAAAACAAGTTCATTCTTCTGTCGAAATTATCTTTCAATTAGAAGTTCTTATAACACAATCAGTACAGGTTTTGTTATAAGAACTTCTGTTCCATTGACATTATCAACCAGAAAAAATATGTTCTAAAATTGTTATTTTATCTGAACATTCTTCTGGCATGTTTTTTGAGTGACTGTGATAGAACATCTAACTTTATATTTTCTAATGTGTGTTAGTGACTTAACACTGTGATTGGTAGATTCTGTCACAGGTTTACTTCCTTGTCACTCTGATTGGTTATTTCTATCACAGCTTTAGTTCTTATCACTCTGATTGGTTGTTTCTGTTTCAGGTTTGGTTTATATGGTCAACCCTTTGATCCTGATCTGTTTGACACTGATCTTCCCATGGCTCTGAAACAGACAATCCCAGTCACGCCAAACTATGCAGCAACAGCCGCTGGTTCTACTGCTGGGAACAACAACAATAATTCGGTGATTCCAACACTGATAGCTGATGAAATGGACTTCTATGACTTGTTTAATCCTCCCTCAGAAAAGTCTTCAAAGGCCCAACTGGAATATGCCAGGAGTAGTATATTTGGACTGTTGGAAGTAGAGCCTCTCCATTTCTTTTGCCATTCTACAAGTGATGGTACAAAAATGGAGAGACTGGATACAAGTGCTACAGGTCACTCTGCCTCTCTCAACACATCTGGACTTTCTGGTACCATCAATTTTGGGGAAGCACTTCCCTCACAGCCTCCCACAGCCAGTGCTTCTACTCTTGCATCAATGTCATCCAATATGACTAAACAGCTTATGCAGGAAAACAGCCAAAAAAGCCATACCTTTAAACACAAGACCACCTTCAAACACAAGATTGATCACATCAAAGATGCCATCAAGATTCTATCAGAGGTGAACAAAACCATTTCTGATGACCTCACCACGAAAACTGTCACCTCTGATCAGCTGTTGCCTCCCACCCCTAAAACCACTCCACAGGTGATGACCCCACCCTTGACACCACCTAATGAGACATGGCAGCAGGTAGGTACCTGTTGTAGATTGTATCGTGGGTAGGAGTCTTATTTTGGGATGACAGGTAGTAGTGGTTAGTAGGTACTAATTTGTAGATTGTGAGGTGGTGGTGGGTAGGAATCCTGTTGAAGATTGTGAGGTGGTGGTGGGGAGGAGTCCTGTTGTAGATTGTGAAGTGGTGGTGGGGAGGAACCCTGTTGTAGATTGTGAGGTGGTGGTGGGGAGGAGTCCTGTTGTAGATTGTGGGGTGGTGGTGGGAAGGAACCCTGTTGTAGATTGTGAGGTGGTGGTGGTGGGTAGGAATCCTGTTGTAGATTGTAAGGTGGTGGTGGGGAGGAGTCCTGTTGTAGATTGTGAGGTGGTGGTGGGGAGGTGAGGTGGTGGTGGGTAGGAGTCTTGTAGATTGTGAGGTGGTGGTGGGTAGGAGTCTTGTAGATTGTGAGGTGGTGGTGGGGAGGAACCCTGTTGTAGATTGTGAGGTGGTGGTGGGGAGGAACCCTGTTGTAGATTGTGAGGTGGTGGTGGGGAGGAACCCTGTTGTAGATTGTGAGGTGGTGGTGGGGAGGAGTCCTGTTGTAGATTGTGAGGTGGTGGTAGGTAGGAGTCCTGTTGTAGATTGTGAGGTTGTGGTGGGGAGGAACCCTGTTGTAGATTGTGAGGTGGTGGTGGGGAGGAGTCCTGTTGTAGATTGTGAAGTGGTGGTGGGGAGGAGTCCTGTTGTAGATTGTGGGGTGGTGGTGGGAAGGAACCTTGTTGTAGATTGTGAGGTAGTGGTGGGTAGGAATCCTGTTGTAGATTGTGAGGTGGTGGTGGGGAGGAGTCCTGTTGTAGATTGTGAGGTTGTGGTGGGGAGGAACCCTGTTGTAGATTGTGCGGTGGTGGTGGGTAGGAACCCTGTTGTAGATTGTGAGGTGGTGGTGGTGGGTAGGAATCCTGTTGTAGATTGTAAGGTGGTGGTGGGGAGGAGTCCTGTTGTAGATTGTGAGGTGGTGGTGGGGAGGAATCCTGTTGTAGATTGTGAGGTGGTGGTGGGTAGGAGTCTTGTAGATTGTGAGGAAGTGGTGGGTAGGAGTCTTGTTGTAGATTGTGAGGTGGTGGTGGTAGGAACCCTGTTGTAGATTGTGAGGTGCTGGTGGGGAGGAATCCTGTTGTAGATTGTGAGGTGGTGGTGGGTAGGAACCCTGTTGTAGATTGTAAGGTGGTGGTGGGGAGAAACCCTGTTGTAGGTTGTGAGGTGGCGGTGGGTAGGAACCCTGTTGTAGATTGTGAGGTGGTGGTGGGGAGGAACCCTGTTGTAGATTGTGAGGTGGTGGTGGGTAGGAGTCCTGTTGTAGATTGTGAGGTGGTGGTGGGGAGGAACCCTGTTGTAGATTGTGAGGTAGTGGTGGGTAGGAGTCCTGTTGTAGATTGTGAGGTGGTGGTGGGGAGGAACCCTGTTGTAGATTGTGAGGTGGTGGTGGGTAGGAATCCTGTTGTAGATTGTGAGGTGGTGGTGGGGAGGAGTCCTGTTGTAGATTGTGAAGTGGTGGTGGGGAGGAACCCTGTTGTAGATTGTGAGGTGGTGGTGGGGAGGAACCCTGTTGTAGATTGTGAGGTGGTGGTGGGTAGGAATCCTGTTGTAGATTGTGAGGTGGTGGTGGGTAGGAACCTGTTGTAGATTGTGAGGTGGTGGTGGGTAGGAATCCTGTTGTAGATTGTGAAGTGGTGGTGGGGAGGAACCCTGTTGTAGGTTGTGAGGTGGTGGTTGGGAGGAGTCCTGTTGTAGATTGTGAGGTGGTGGTGGGTAGGAGTCCTGTTGTAGATTGTGAGGTGGTGGTGGGAAGGAACCCTGATGTAGATTGTGAGGTGGTGGTGGGGAGGAACCCTGTTGTAGATTGTGAGGTGGTGGTGGGTTGGAGTCCTGTTCTAGATTGTAGGGTGGTGGTAGGTAGCAACCCTGTTGTAGATTGTGAGGTGGTGGTGGGGAGGAACCCTGTTGTAGATTGTGAGGTGGTGTTGGGGAGGGGTCCTGTTGTAGATTGTAAGGTGGTGGTGGGGAGGAGTCTTGTAGATTGTGAGGTGGTGGTGGGGAGGAACCCTGTTGTAGATTGTGAGGTGGTGGTGGGGAAGAACCCTGTTGTAGATTGTGAGGTGGTGGTGGGGAGGGGTCCTGTTCTAGATTGTAGGGTGGTGGTAGGTAGCAACCCTGTTGTAGATTGTGAGGTGGTGGTGGGGAGGAACCCTGTTGTAGATTGTGAGGTAGTGGTGGGTAGGAACCTTGTTGTAGATTGTGAGATGGTGTTGGGGAGGGGTCCTGTTGTAGATTGTAAGGTGGTGGTGGGGAGGAGTCTTGTAGATTGTGAGGTGGTGGTGGGGAGGAACCCTGTTGTAGATTGTGAGGTGGTGGTGGGGAAGAACCCTGTTGTAGATTGTGAGGTGGTGGTGGGGAGGGGTCCTGTTGTAGATTGTGAGGTGGTGGTGGGTAGCAACACTGTTGTAGATTGTGAGGTGGTGGTGGGTAGGAACCCTGTTGCAGATTGTTAGGTAGTGGTGGTGGGTAGGAATCCTGTTGCAGATTGTTAGGTAGTGGTGGTGGGTAGGAATCCTGTTGTAGATTGTGAGGTGGTGGTGGGTAGGAATCCTGTTGTAGATTGTGAGGTGGTGGTGGGGAGGAACCCTGTTGTAGATTGTGAGGTGGTGGTGGGGAGGAACCCTGTTGTAGATTGTGAGGTGGTGGTGGGTAGGAATCCTGTTGTAGATTGTGAGGTTGTGGTGGGGAGGAACCCTGTTGTAGATTGTGAGGTGGTGGTGGGGAGGAACCCTGTTGTAGATTGTGAGGTGGTGGTGGGGAGGAACCCTGTTGTAGGTTGTGAGGTGGTGGTGGGGAGGAATCCTGTTGTAGATTGTGAGGTGGTGGTGGGGAGGAATCCTGTTGTAGATTGTGAGGTGGTGGTGGGTAGGAACCCTGTTGTAGATTGTGAGGTGGTGGTGGGTAGGAATCCTGTTGTAGATTGTGAAGTGGTGGTGGGGAGGAGTCCTGTTGTAGATTGTGAGGTGGTGGTGGGTAGGAACCCTGTTGTAGATTGTGAAGTGGTGGTGGGGAGGAGTCCTGTTGTAGATTGTGAGGTGGTGGTGGGGAGGAACCCTGTTGTAGGTTGTGAGGTGGCGGTTAGGTATCCTGTTATAAATTGTGAGGTGATGGTCAGTAACCCTGTTAATAATTGAGGTGATGGTAGATAGCCTCATTGTTGATGAAAGTTTGTTGTGATTTGATGAAAAAGAAAACCCAGAAAAATAGATTTTACAGGAATAACATAGTTTGATTTTAACGTAATTAGACCATTATAATACGTGGTGAGTTATCCAAATGGCCCTACATCTATGGCTCATTTATCACTTGGCATCCATCCTGGAACAGTTTTTGTTATCACTATTTCTTGAGAAGTACTTGATGGGTCTTTCTCAAATTTTATATGAAAGTTCCCCTTGGTTCCTAGTTGTGCCCCATTGCTTTGGAAATTAATTAGAAAAACAAAATGGCTTCCCGGTGATCATCTTGGAGTTTACCTATGAAAGTATTTTTGGCAGTGTACAATTGCTATTACTATTTTCGGAGAAGTAAAGGATGGTTAGATGTAGACTTGTATGCATGCAAAATTTTAGACTGAAACAAAATGGCTAACAAGCTTGCTTTCATGAATTTTCATGATTGAAGTCAATAATTGCTGTTTGAGCAGTACGGAACCAATTAATTTCAAATTTCATGTGGGTAAATGAAGTTCCTCTTGGTCCATCTCGCATGTTCTATTTTGGGACTGAACAAACCGGCAAATAAGAGAAAAGAATGGAAAAAATCCAGCTTCTATGGAACTGATAAAAGCCATACAGTGGTGGATGCCAAGATCCATCTGGGAGCTCTTGTTTTCATATGAGTAAATCAGCATTGTAGCTCATGTTTGAAGTATTTTGAGTATAATATATGTTTTTACAGAATCAAGGCACCAATGACAAGTCTGACACCTTGAAACAACAGTATGCTCAGGCCCAGAAATCATCACTAGGGATTCCCAACACTCAGACTCTGCTGCAGCCTCCACCTCTACAGGTGCTAGTCATAGAGAGGATGCACTCAGGTGTGTACTGCAATGGTTTATTTCCTTTTGTGATACAATACTGATCCTCTTGTGCTGTTGTTTTTCAACTCGTCAGATCTCTTTTTATAAGGGAATGCATGTAGAATCTTGTTAAAGACAGCTGTATAATAACCCCCCATCGACAGGTTTATTTCAGTCAAATTTTTTATAGTCATACCCAATAAACAAGTTCATTAGCAGATTTCATACTAATTTTTTAGTAATTTTGAAAAGGTTTTTTTTTTGTTTTGTTTTTGTTTTTTTTTTTTTTTGTTGACTTTATTGACTTTGAAGTTTTCCGTTTTTTTGAACTACTGCAAAAGGTATATATCATTATTTGAAAATATGATTGTAATTCTGTTTGCTCAAAGGTGCTCGTCGATTTGTAATCCTGGACTTTGGTAAGCCAGTGGTGCTAACTGATGTGGTGATCCCAGCTTGTGCCGATCTTGCCTCGTTATCTATAGATGTATGGGTTCAGGGTGAGGAGATAGATGGTCAAAGATTTGTGGTGGCTGGAGACATAGGAAGCAGATCTCTCATCATGAATGATATTATGCCAGCACCTGTGTGTAGATACCTCAAGGTAAATAAGACTAATTTTTTTTAACCCATCATACTTACTTATTGTGGTGAACATAAGCAAACATTAGGTAATTTGCTGTAAGATTGTTTCGATTCAGTGTGGAAATATGAAAACGAAATGTGATCTTAATTTGATTCTTAATCAGCTTCTTTTATTGGACATATGGATTCAGAAAACTATATAACCAATAGTCATTAGTTTTCCTTCATACAATATTTTAACAGTTTGGTTTGATTTTGATTTTCAGATAACCACCATTGGCAGATATGGTAGTGGTTCTACAAGAACAAAGATTCCAATCGGTGCATTCTATGGGCACAGTTGTATCTTGCCGTGGGAGTGGAACAGTTACCTAGAACAGCAGAGCTCTCAAGGCATGTCAGGGAGTCAACCGGAACTGCCAACCCAACCCCATTTATTAGCCCAACTAAGTGTGTACATGTCGTTGCTGGAGGACATTCAGTGTCGCTACAGTCTGGCTAGAACCAGGCTGGAGAATTTGTTGGCAGCTGTAAATACTCAGCAGTATGCCAGTGGCCATATACAGTACTATTTGAAAAAGCAGAAAAAGAATGACTGTGATAATAAAATTTTACAGGCCTATAATGACTGCCTTCAACTTCAGCTTCAACAGAACCTCGCTCAAAGAGCAACAGACAGACTCAATAGTGCTTTAGGATTCAAAGGACATAGAGTGGAGACCTCAGGGACACTGAACACACGACTGCGTCAGGCTTGCACAGACAAACTCAGATTTTTGCTAGAGCAGACACTTGACACATTAATCAGTTTAACAACTGTGTCACCAAGTATTCCACAATCACCAGCCTCTTTGTTCAAAATGTTGGACCCTATGAACTCAGAAATGTTGTTCAAGCATTTGTGTGTACATGGGACAAAGAAAATCCAGATTAGTATGGGAATGCTACTGATGCGGGTCTGTGGTAGTCAGCAGTGGTGGGGCAACTTCTTAGGCAATGCTCTACAGGAATTCTTCCACTCAGAAAATACACAGATCTTCTCCCAAGATAGGTAAGGTTGAGAACAGCAAAAGCAAAAAACTTAGAAAGAAAAATGAGTGAGAAAAGATAAGACATGAAAATGATTTAGCATTAAGTAAATATAATATTGGTATGATTGGAAAGGTACATCAGTTCAAGAAGGGTTCAAGTTATTTTATGCAAAATTGAAAACAGTATTGAAGTTGGGCATGATTTTTACAGTAAAGGTAGAATTGAAAACAATGTTATTTTAAATGTGCTATTAATAATGTCAAGACAGGTGACAGTAAAAAAGGCTTCACAAATGTTACAAGGGAAGATTTGAAAAAAAAAATACTATAAAAAAAGGTAGATAGAATTTGTCCTAGGATGTATGAAAAGAAAATTCCACAAAGCCTCATGGATTTGTAAGACTGAGAAATTCTTTCACACATCCTGTCAGACTAGATTTCTTTATCCATCATATGGACAGAATGTGTATATGTGATCTGTCAGGATCAGTATGAAACATATATTTTTGGAATGGATTGTTTTTATACATGTTAGATTCTTCTATTTCTTATTTGGTTAAAAACAAGTACTGTCCTAATCTGCAGGGTGTTTGTACTGCTATTGGCGATGGGACAGAAAGTATTGTCAGGCCCAAGTGCTGTACACATCATGGAGAGTTTATTGGACATGCTGGCCCGTGTCCTTAATCCTCTCATTAACAGCCAGCAATCAATGCAGTTTGGTCAAACAGGTATGCCTTGTCTTTCAGAAATCAAAATAAAGAGTTCCTTAGAGGTGTTTTTAGCACAACGAAGCATAAGAGTTTATGATAAGATATTGGTTTGCCTTCATCATACATACTTAAACTGTTTGTAGAAAATTTTCATAGAAATAAGCATTACTTAAAAAGATGTCTTAAAGCCTTGTGCATGCAATGATGTCAGTGCCTTGTGTCGTCTGCACAAAAACTTTTAGAATTATTTCCCAATTTCTTGATCTTCTCACACCACATTTTTTTGAAAGATAGAGAAAAAATTTCTAAAGTATACATAGTTTTAATTGCCTTGATAAGATTGTAATATGGTATGTCCCTGTGTGTTTCAGCAGGGTTGATAGACTTAACACTAGTGGGATGGATACTTTTATTCCTGTGTCGGAACCTGGACCACACATTTGTTGTAGGATCAAATGGAGAAGACCGTCAAATAAAACGAGAAAATGGTAAAGTACAATGATTCAATTCTTAAAGTTACATGGTTACTGTTAGTAAAAGAATAAAAATATCCTATTTTTGCTCTTGTGTATATGACCTAGAGTGATGTCTTCAACTGATAATGAAATGATACCACAGTATTTATCCTGGAATGATGTTACAAGGCCGACAAGGAATGTAAAGCCAAGTGGGTAGAAATTTTCAACTTCAAGAGTTAAATAGAAGAAAAAACATATGAAATTCTTTTCTGTTCAATGATAAAATTATGACATAAACTAATTATTTAATGGAAACTTAGAAAATGTGATTTTGATTTAGTTGCGTACCCTGTAAACATACATAAATATTGGTGTCTTAATCAATACATCCAACACTTGACAGTATTATTTGTGAAAATAATGAAAGTTTTTGCCATAATTGTTTAGATATTGAGATGAGTGTAAGAATCCTTCTTGTTCAAATATGATACTGATTAAATAATTCTTGTTTTGTTATCTTTTCCATGCAGGTAACAGTCTACCAAATAGATGGAATTTCATTCAAGGAGACCATAATATGGTTAACAATAAAAGTAAGGTGAAGAGTTCCAAAGTATACCGTTGGTCCATGCACAAACGACTTCTGCATCACAAACAAAAGCTTATGGATCTTCAACAGGCCCAAAAGACATTCTTCAACTCTGACAAAACAACTTCAAGCAGCAGTACTTCGCTTCTCAAACAGCAGGAGAAACAGTTCCGCAAAGAGCTGTCTCAGTATGCCTCTAAGGTAGGGCCATGTTTCCTGTGGTCACAGTATAATAGATTTTGTGATAGTTTAGGATTCTTATTGAGATGTTTGTACTACATATGATACATACATGTTACCTGTACCAAACAGAGCATCATGTATCATTTTCTACCAATGGTTAACATATACGGATTGAAAGCCAAATTAAGCATTTGATATGCTCTTTGTTGAACAGTATGTCATTGAAATTTTTCAGATGAGGTCCAGTGTTGATGCCTTACGTAAACAACCAAAGATGGATGAGGTGGCAGGTTCCTGTAAGAGTAATGGAGATTTTGATCATGACGGTGTTCTGGTGTTGCCCAAGGACAAGACATTACGGGTAGTGCGGGGTCTCATGGCCCTCCTTCTGAGCATGGACTTCACATGTAATGTTGACCTGTTTCTGGTCACCTGCAAGGTAATTGCATCTGTTGAATGTGAAATTGATATTTCTGAAAAGATGGACAAATATTGTGTAAGTGTTCATTACGTCAGTGTGGAAGTGTACAATATTTTTGTTGTTCATATACAACACACATAAAAGCTAGCTCTTTGCCATTTGATTTAATTGATGCTCGACAGCTAACACTCTTGTTATGAGTAATTATTACAATAGGTCTAATTTATCTGAAACAAAATTGTAATAATGTTCTTGGTTCTCTCGGGTACTAATTAGTGATACACTGGGGCAAGTTGTTCTTGAGTTCTAATTAGATTTGAATGGTGGAAATTACCTGTTATTTATTTAATATTTCCACTTAATCCTGATTGCAGTGGTGTTGATCTGTTGTAACAGGTGCTTGCCACTATTTGTGTGACTACACGGCCGGCTATTACTCTATCTGAGGCCATGGGGCAGGAACAGCTGGAAAAACTCATACTACTGGCATCTAACATGGAGTTCAGTCACAGCAACATCAGTTGGGGAGGGCCTTGGGCGGGACATGCAATAACATGTCTACTACAAGACATACTTGATGGTACAGATTTCCTTCACTACTGTAAAAGCATAGGTGTTCATGGAGCTCAATTTTTGTGGTTTTTCAATGAATTACTGATTTGTGGAGGACAGGAGATTTTGTTGATAAATAAATCTGCCTACACTATACATTGTCTTTTCATAGTGCAGAGTTACCTGCTCTTGTGAGACTGAATTTTCACACACAATGTATCGACTAAATATTCATAAGAAAAGATAACACTGCATTATGATAAGATGGAATAAAAGTTCATGGACATAATAAATTCATGGATTGAAAGTATCAATGAAATAAATGTTATAAAAATCCAACAAAGATTTATGACTTCACAATATCAGGACTTCAGTAAGGCAAACATATTGTTTATCTGAATGATTGGATTTGAATGAATGCACATATCTAGCTCACCTGTCTTATGGTCAATTAATTATATTGCTGACTGGTCAATTTTTTTACCCTGATACAGGTGATCAAGTGTTGTGTTTTTCTGTACAGGTGAGAAATTTTATCCTCCTAACAATGACACACCTGAGTTGACAGAGGAGTGTATCAGTAACATCACAGAGTCTGAAGACAGCCTACCTAGTAGTGTGGGTTTACCTACCATGGAGGACAGTGAATCAGGGGCTGACAACCAAGGTATATTCTAGTCAACTAAAAGACTTGTCAATCCATGGTATAGGTCTTTTTTTCTTGGGTCATCAATTATTTTTCTTTTTAATGGTTTGTGTTTGATTGGGATGTACTATAACATAATATTTAATTAAATATGTATGATTTTATGGCATCTGTGTATAAAATGTGTAGGATATAATCAGATGGGGCCACAGTTTGGTGAGTGTTTAAGGCATCTGACTGTCTTTATCACTAGCTCTCCAAATCTAGGTCGCAGGTTTGAGACCTATGTGGGGCAGTTGCAAGGAATTGCCCACAGGGCAGTGGTTTTCTCTGAGAACTCAGGCTTTTCTCCACCAACCAAACCAAGAAAGTCCTTAAAGGACCCTGACTGTCAATAGGATACAAAGCAATAATAAACATAATCAGATGAGGAGCATGTGTCTAATACAAAACATCCAGCAAACAGTTCCTTTAGTTTGTATGTACTATTCATGGTTCTTGTGATGTTTTAGTTTGATTAAATCTACCTATTGGTTCTAGATGCTGATTCCTCCGAGAGTAAAGATGATTCAACAAAGATGAATTTTGATAAGGAATCATCTATGATGGTAGACCTGCTGCTGAACGGAGAAGAGGAATATGAGGAATCAGCTGCAAAATTACATGCATATGTGACAGGCCATGCCAGTAAACCAGCACCTCCCCCCATGTCTCCGTACGAAACACCAATACCAACTACCAGCCTCAATGGCGCTCTGGAAATGAATTCTTCTGGGTAGGTTAAGGCAAAATATACTGAAACAGGTGACTGTTAACTAATTCCAATACAGTTTGCTGAACAAATTCCTTTTTGGCATAAATATAACCTGCAAGACTGTTTACCAGCAATGCTGATATGCTCATTATTGTGATAAAAAAAATTCAGAAAATAGGAACAGAAGATATTTTATCTCATAAATGTATGTCTGATATTGAAATGTCCTGAAGATTTTGATAGTAGCTATTAAACTGAAATTTGTCAAGTTTTTGTTTGCTCCGTTTCAGAGTGTTTTCTGCAGAGATGGAGAAAGTGGAAAAGTTAATGGTTCAGAAGCTAATTGGTCAAAATAAACAAATGGCTGAGATGACCAAAGGAGACAAGACTCTGGCTAATACTGGTACCACCCTTCAACAGATGCCCTCTCTACTAGGGTCTACTTTGCCAGGCTATCCTGGCAATCTACGGTCAAGTGTAATGGCCATTGTCCAGGGCATGTCAACAGCTATGGATGCCAGATTAGAGTTTGGTCTGGAAACACACGCTGAGATCAGACTCAAGGTCTGTTTTCACTCAAGACATTTAAGATGTACATTTAATAGATATTCTAAACAATTATTTATTATTTATTGTGCTTGGAAAAAAAACATGGAAAGTTATAAAGGGATATTTACATTAAAAGTATCTACCAAAGAGGAGGGCTTTGGTCCAAGTTTGTCTTACATGGGACTCTGACAGAAGAGTTCATATGATGTATATATACTACATTTTCTTCAAAACACGACTAGCATGAATTTGTTTATTTCTAGATTCCTCTTATGGGATAGATATTTTACTTGCCTTTATCTTTTTACTAAAATCTACATGATTTTTAGCAGTTTAAACAGTTGAGTCTTTCTCTGTTACAGACCATGTTGTCTTTACACACGGAGAATGTTCAGCAGGCCTTCTCTTCATCCTTACCTACGGCACCCTCTCCTGGTGTTAGTATGGAACAGGCTGCCCCCGCAACTACTGATGATGAACTTTCAGAAAGTAGAGCAAATGCACCAGAGGTAACATTAGATGTCATTTTAGCTCACCTGATTATCTGGCATGTTAAACTTCCTAGTAAAAATCGCTTCTAATCATGAATGACTGAACTGATTTTGACCAAAAGTGGTCTGCCTTCATTAATCTTTCATCTGTCATATATGAATATTTTACCTTTCAAACAATCCTTACTTGGTCCTTCTTGGCTTACGAAGATAATGGCACCATTATAAAATCCATACTCCATACTCAAACTCAGATAATATTGAAGAAAATAGGTTCACACCAAATCACATTGATTTTTGAGTCAGTCTGAAAATCAAAATTACTTATTTAACTGTCGTTTTTTATTGTTGTGAAAAGTTTTTCCAGATCTTATGAATTGTGTTTTGCTTTGTGACAAAAAGTTATGGAAACATAAGTTGACAACTTATTCCTCAATGAATTTTTTTCCAGACTTCATCATCAGAGATGTTGAGTCAGTGTTACGCCCATCTGTTTAATAATCTAATACCTCAGCACACAAATCTTGATGCCCTTCTGCAATTGTGGCTCACTTTGAATGGTGAAGGGAGTTCTGAAGGCAGCAGTACTCAGTTGACTTTTGACCCTAGTCGGACACCTCTAATCCCCCTTAGTGCTACCTCCATGGCTAACATGCTTGCCCTGGTGAATGCCACACCCAGCTTGCCAGTGTGTACATGGGTACTTGTGTTCCAGTCACTTACTCTGTTGGCCAATCAGAAGACTCGCCTTTACCCCTTGGGGCCAGAGCAGTCCATGGTGATTCCAATGTTGGCTGAACGAAACCTTATTGCAGTTATCACCAGATTCTTGTCGGGTACCTCAGAATATGGACCTATAGCATCAGCAGCACAGTTTTCACAGGTAAGCTGTTATGGAAACTAAAATTTTGAGGATGGCCAATTACAATCCCCTTTGGTCCGGTGTCGTACATCAAAAACTTTTAATATTGTAACTTCTTCTGGAAAACTGATTTCAATGAAATTTTAGGAAAATCTTCCATGGCTAAAGGCACATGAAAATTGTTAATTATGTGGTCCCCAACCAACAGTGGAAGGCCTTCAGATGCTTAGCCAAAATTGCAAATTTCATGATTCCAGGGCCAGGGCCAAAAATGGGTCATATTGACTAAAGTTTCAAAGATGTTCTACTGTTCCTGGATGGAAGATTTTATATAGGAAAATCCAAATCTTGAGTGTAATTTCTTTTTATTCGAACTTTGTTAGAAGCCTTACCATGGGACAGCAGTTAATGTATACACAATTTACATTTGCATTTGTGTACAATATTTAAAGTTATATCACATTTTTTGAAAAAGGCATTTCAGTGACATGTTAGAAGAAGCATTGTGACTCAGGTGACTGTTGTTTGGGCCTCTTGTTAAAGAATCTAAAGTACAGATACTATCAATAGTTTGAGGATGTTCTTTTTAGATAATAAGTAAAATTCACTGTCTATATTATGTGTAAAAGAATAACTTCTCAGAAGATGTAGAGTTTACCCAGTATCTTAAATTGTTATCAACTGAGGATTAAAATTTCATTTTTATTATCATCAGGTTGGACCCTCTGCTACCAAAAGCTTTTATGAGTTTTTACTGAGGCTTTTGGTTAAATGTTCTGCTGATAACCTAAAGAATCTGAAAGAGTTGATGCTGACTTTGGTGTATAATCTTTGTGCTGAGAGGTATGTTGGCTACTCATTATCATCTTAGATTTAATGATAACACCTTGTCATATTTTTATAATGTTGACCATTTCATTGAACAAGTCTATTTTGTTACTTTGTTTACATTAAAAGAAGATCGTTCAAATTTTTAAGACATTTACATAAACATTTGTGTTCACATGAATTTCCTCTGACTTTTCCTGATTTTATCTTCTGTTACAGAGGTGCCTTCCATTCTGGCCTAGGACCCCTTGACGCTCAGTGTAAATTCCTATCTTTCATTCTGGACATGTCATATGAGAACATTGAGGTTGGCAATGCCTTGAGTGTGATTGAGTCAATCAGTAGTCTTGTCCATCAGCATATACTATGTCAGGAGCGCATCAGCTGCCGCAGTTCCTCAGAGAATAATGTTAATGCCAGGTCATGTTTTGGTGGACTGTTTGCTAGTCTGTTGCGAGGAGTTGACTCTAGGTCCTCTGCTGGAGATGCCTCCAGAGACTCCTTAATGTGTAGTCTACTCAGGCTCATTAACAGTCTCATACAAATTCGATATGGACAACGGACAAGTCGTATATCATCTGTGGTACTGGATAATAGTACAGAGCCCCACACTCCCACCCTAAATCTTTCTGCTCTGGCAACCTCCACTCCTACATCTGCTTTCATGTTATCTGACGAGGAAAAGTGTCAGCAAACTGATGAACAAAAGACTGAAAATTTGCATGCTCCTCCAGAGCCAAACAACACCTATGTTGCTGATATTATTTTGGGCCACAGACAGATTATGTGTAATTTAATGGAGGCCCTAAGCTACTGCAACAGCAACACAATGGCCATGATCCTTGCTAGTAGGGGTGTGTCTAGCCACATGCAGGACACATTTACTGGGAGTAATCCTATCTCTGTTGGGGATGGCATCTACCAAATACTGCGGACCCTGTCCTCACATTGCTCTGACCAGAAGTTGGTTCTAGAATCTCTCTTCTATTACATGTCTGGCTCCTATATGGGAATGACCTCGTCACCCTCACTCTGTAGACTGTCAGAACCGCTGCTCTGGTTCATGCTGAAGGTCCTGGACAACTCACGTGCAATTCATATATTCCTTGACATGGGTATGTTCAAAACTCATTAATCTTTTTCATAGAAAAAGTTTTCAAATCAGATTTTTATATAAACATTACATCATCGGCCATATAGTGTTTGGAAATTTTTAATTTAATGTAAACTTAAATATTTCTTTTCTAGTTAACTGATTTTGAAATTTACTTATCTATCAGTGATGCTAAATTTCTCTCTCTCTAGGTGGTGTGAAAGTCGTGTGCCGTAACTTGGTAAGCTGTAACTGTAGAATCATCAACACATCACCCAGTCTCATCTCAACGATCATGCAGAATCTGAATGGTAGAACAAAGATGATGGAAAAGAAGACGACAGGGGATACAGAATCCCCAGATGGATTGCAGAACTTTGCTCCCTTAGGTACTGTACCAAGAAAATACAATGATCAAAATTGAAAGCAAAGACATGAATAACATACAGCTTAGAATTATAAAATTAAATAGAAAGCTTCACAGATTAATAATCACGTCAACCAGATAGCATTTCGTCAGACATTTTTGCTGGATAGTGCATCATCACTGACCCTCTAACTAACTAAAATTACAAAGCAGTATCCATGACAATTCTTCTACTATGATACTTGTGATTTGGTCATCAAACTTTTTCAGATAGCAGTCTCAACTGTCTTTTGCTTTTATACAAAAGTGTCAATCAGACCTGGGATTGCAGAGAAAAAAAAAAATTTATACAGAAGTATCAATCAGACCTAGGATCTCAGAGAAAACTTTATATACGTAATTTTGAGGCTTTTTCAGGAGAAGAAAAAAACAACTAGAATTGCAACACTAAATTACAGTGCTTTCATCTGAAGCTCTTTGGTGATGACAGCATCCTACATCATTCTCAGTTTGTGATACTGTGTTGCAGGTTCCATCAGTTCCAGTAGTCCCACAGCTAGTCCTGCAGATGTCCTTATACAGGCTGCACAAACACATCGTAGGGCACGATCTGCAGCTTGGTCCTATCATTTTTATCCAGACGAGGCCTGGGTAGATCTTACTGTACAACTGCCATTTGCTATTTTACTGAAGGAGGTCCAGATACAGCCCCACAATGCCTCACTTACTAGTAAGTATCCTACAGTTGTTGAGTCCCCTCTGAGTACTTGCAGTATAAGCTTAAACAGTCAAACACTCACTTTATGTTCTACTTAAGGATCAGGAGAACTGTCGTAGACTGATTTTTTGTCGCATAACCCTGCAACTACACCATAGATTTGAGTTAGATATCATCATTCAATTTTTCAGTTTAAATGTAAGCAGCTACAAATCTGAGGCATTAAAGGTATATTAAGGCTTGATATTCCTAATCTTGATTTAATTCAATATTTCCAGCATGCCCAGCCTTTGTGTCATTGGAAATCAGTCATGATGGAGTGACAACTACCCCACTGTGTCAGCCTCTGATGACCAGTAGTCTGGCCTTCATAAAGCTCCAACTGCAACGGCCAGAGGTGGCCACATGTGTGACCATCCGTCTACACAAAGCTCGAGATTCCATGACCATTGGTTTGTCACAGATCCAGCTAGTTGGCTACAGTGCCTTTGGGGACACTGGCAGTGCCCCACAGAACATTTTCATGCCTACAGAGGACTTTGTGTCCAGATCTAGGTACTTCCAATCTTTAAAAAATTGCTTGATATTCATATTCATTTATGACTATCAGATCAACATTTTACAAGTTATGAATAGATAAATATTATTTGCTACCAAATTGCCATTGTTTAAAATTTTGATGATATTTCATTTTGGTTAAAATTATCCAGAATTCACATCAATCTTGATCATTGTAAATGCAACGCCAGAGTGTTGTTTGACTATCATGCCATGTTACAGTGTGCGATGGATCCGTCTGCTTCACCACTGCATGACTGCCCATAAGGAAGTTGAAAACCAAGTGGCTGCAGCAGCTGCCAGCACTCCAAACCTCCTCAACACATGCTCAGCCCTTCTAGTCTCTCCCATGTCTAATGTATATGCTCCCAACATAGAGAATGTACTGCTCAACCTAGGACTACACTCTATTTCCATGGGCCTGGCTCTCATTGATAACATCCTTCGGAGTCCTCAAAGTCAAGCTGATGCTAATTCAGGTACTAAGCTCCAGTGACATAATGACACGGTGGTCCCTATAAAACCACCCAAAGAACTTGCATCAGGTTTCTTATAATAAGAGGGTGGGGATGGTCTGAAACATATTTGAAGTAGGAAATAAAACAAAATTCACCTATGGGCAAAGTATTTGCATCTTTTGTATTGAAATGCTGTTGTTTATTAAATGTTTAAAGTGTTTATGTGAGGAACTTGAAATTTAACTATTTTATAATAAAGTCAAATTACCATTTTTGCATTCAGGAGATATCCATATTTGTTTTAGAACTATCTTATTAAAGATCTACAAATAATTCTGTAAATTATGTATTGCTCATCAATACGAAATTATTGATCCAATATATCTACAGACTGCTTTCTCTTTCTGTCAAATGTGAAGGATGGTAACTATCCATGCTCCATATATGGTACTTGATATCTTTGATGTTCACAGGGATAACCACCCCATACTTGGGGAAAGTGAGTGGTTTAGCCAATGATTCAACAGTGGAACTGCTATACCAACTTAGCACTGTGCAAGACTCGGGCACAAAACACAGGTTTGTACCAGACATTCATGACTTATTTGATTAAGAATTTTTAGCTTGCCTCAACAAAATTGAAGGGGGCTTCACTCTGGTAAACAATAAGAATAAGACCAGTATTTTGAAGCAATCACAAGTAAATAGTTCATTAACCTGGCTAGGTCTGACCCATATTTACTTTTGATTGATCAGGTGTTTGTTTTTCCAATACTGTGGTTGTGACATCATATGCATTTTGATGAGACTGAGGTTGAGGTGAGCTTTTATAGGTTTTTAGGAACTTTTTATTTAAATCTGAATAAGATTGTACTCAAGTGAAAAGAGTGAAAATATAGAGCAATATATTGTTATACAATTAAGTTTCTTTATTCATGATTTGTATATACAGAGTGAAGGCATTACTGGACTGGCTGAGAGACAGTGCCAGAACAAGTCTACAGAGGATGTCTATGTACTCTGCTGAAGGTTACAGTCGAGGGTCGTCAGTGTGTCTACCTAGCCCTGCACCCTCACACATTCAGTGTGTCGCATCTATATTATGGTACAGTCATGAGGTTCAAGTGGAATACAACTTGTCTGATCTGATTACAGTTAATCTAGTCAGGTAAGTTAGAATATCTCTAATTTTTGGTTACATATATATATATGTATAAACCATTTCAATTGGAATAAGTGTTTTTAAAGCATTTCTTGTCAAATCAGTGTTTGATACTCCAGTTCCATTTGGTTTTTAGGCACAATGCACAATATGTTGAAGTTGTCCCTTTTGTTATTTCAGTGCTTTATATGAGTGGTCAACAGTGCTGAAATCTGACACAGCACTGAAGAAGTCTGTTAACTATGTACTGTGTTCTGTGTGTCACATCAATCCGGAGTACTTCTCCCAGCTTCTGACCTGGATGGGTGTGATTGTCAATGGTGAGATCAGCATGTCAGCATCAGTGTGTGATGACCGTAAGGACGGAGGGTCACATCTTCACCAAGAGTGTCTCACAGACGACTCAAAGGAAGCCAACAGTATACAAAGGCAGCAGAGTCTGGGTACGGAATGTCCTTTGGTGGACATACCAGTACCAGGCTTTCGTCACATTGTGTTGGAGGAGACGCATCTTTCAACACTCTCCTTAGCATGTAAATCACCAGTGGCTATTAAACAGTTACTTGATTCTGGATTTCCAGCAGTGTTGGCACAAGGATTGTTTGAATTCTGTAGTAAGGTGATGTCACACCTCTCAGATGGGTTTGTGAATTTAGAAGGACTTACAGACACTTGCAAAACATTGAATGATGATGCATCTAGTTCAAAGGTCAATCGGGACAATGGCAATGATACAGGTATGATTACATTTTTGTGTATTGCAACTAGTTGATTTGGTGTGAAAGCTTCATACATACAATTGTGTCTTAAACTCACTAGTCACAAAGTGCCTGTAGGCAAAATTATGATCTCTCAAATTTTTCTTTTATGTTAGAACTATAAGACCTGTGGTCTTACTATTTGAATTATGGTTACTTGGTAACGAAAACTACAAAACATTCATAAAGTAATTGACAAACACATGTTGTTACATGGGTTAAGCGTAAATTTCCTTTTTAAAGTAACTTATCCCATGCCATGTGTTAAACTTCGTAGCAGTGTGATATATTTGTTTGCACGCCGAGGTATTTATCCACTTTCAAATCCTCTGATTGGTCGTCTCTGACCTCTATGACCACCAATCATCAGCTTATAGTGACCCAGAAAGTAACCCATACTACATTGAAACAAATACATTCAGATTAGTGTAATGTGTATATGTACAAAAAAGTCATCTCCATTTGTCTATGTCATGAAGTCACACGATTTGCTTCCCTATTTTTAAAATGCATGCACACTGACTATATAGATTAAACTTCAACAGGGGTTTTAAAGACAAATGAGAAACTGGAAAGCCATTGACTAACCATTCAGCAAGGAAATATTGTACTTAGTTGAAAAGTTATACACAACTTAACGTATGATACCTGTATTGTAGATCTACGTTACATACATTATAAGCTGACACGGCTAGGATTAGCAATTGATTTTATGTCAATATACCTATGTAATAACAACAGACAATTGAATATGGCAGTGATTAGCTAATATTCTGCTGCCCAAGCTTTGATATCAACCTCCCTGTGTCATATCATTCATTGGGCAGGCTGATTTAAATGGGCATTCTATTAATAAAACACAAAAACTTTATGCTGTTTATACTAATAAATAATTTTTAAAGTCATGTGATATCCAAATTTATTACAATAAACATTCATAGGTCATTTAAAATATATAGCAGTCGTTCCTTCATTACCAACTATATTTTGTCATGTAGTGATATGACTGACAGAATATAGTGGTCATGTTGGGAGAATTTGAACTAGATATATTTTTGGTGTTTAAAAGCTATAGGATGAACAAGTTGGCCAACATGTGATGGTTATTTATCATGTTTATGTAAACATTGACAAAATATTGATCTACATAAGAAAGCATCTTAGATGGTATAAATGTAAATACTGAGATGGTGTCGTTATTAAAAAGGAGGACTGATTTTAGAAAGCCAATGAATACAAAAATAAGCTTAATTAGAGTGCAAAATATTTATACCGATATGTCTGTATCAAAAGGTTTCTGTTCTGGGAAAGGGTCAGAAGGATGCAATTTTAATTTTCATTGATAGTGATTTTTGATGATCTACAATTTTGTTTTTGTTTTATTCTAGATAATAATCTGTGGATGACTGCAGACATAGTAGCTGCAGTTCTGCGGTTTTTCTCTGAGGTATCCTCGGAACCTTTAATGAAAGACTGGTTGGGAGGAGCAGAAGGCAATATATTCTGGCCAGCCATCCTCACTATGCTGTGCAATACCCCGGTTCAGGCCACTGCTATCAGGAAAAACTCAAATCACCACATTGAGGTTTGTTTTGAAGTATTAGACCAAAAAATGTATGGTTTTTGTTGATAAGTACACCAGAAGCAGATTTCAAAAACATCCTTCTCTTTCAGGTAAAACGTAATCTTACACGTGATAATATTTGGTAATTTAAATTGTTTTTCAGTTAATGTCACTTGAGGACAGGACATCCATCGAGACAGCAACAGTACGATTCTTTACTCAGGTGACATCTTGTCACATTGTTAACCAGCTGTTGTTTGCCAAGGTTCTGTGTGAGGTGATCAAGGAACAAAACAGCAGCTCTAAAACTGGTACGTGTTTAATACATCATTCACCTGTTATCCAGATCCAGTGAATTCACCAATATAACACTTTCGGATGCATGTCACAAGTGTGATACACTCTAGTGTCATTCATTGGCTGCACCAGTCAGAAATTGAGGGTGATTACATGATATGGGCAATGACCTTACATCATGAATTAAATGCAACAAAGTGGCTACCACTGTTTGATTTTATGTTCCACATTTTTAAATTCAAACCTGTCCGAATGTAACATTCCCGAGTTGTGTGATAAAAAGTCTATGAAGTTTGTTCTCATTTCAGATGAGATCTTCTGAAACTTGTCTCAAGGTTTTAATTGTTTACCCAAGGCTTGCAAAAGTAAAAACTTTAAAGACTCATTTCATAAAATCTCATATCAAAATGAAACCTCACTCAAGATCCTAAGTGTAACTTTGTAAGAAACATTTCTAAATTACTGTTAAGCCCACAAAAATGGACCTCAGACTTCTATCACCTTGAAAATGGGAAATTTAGATTTATAATAGAAAACATCATTGAATTGATAGTGTTTATGTATGAGATACTTATATATATTTCATTGTGTATCCCTTGGTGCACTGGGTAAGGTTTTAATCAACAGGAAATATGATATACATAATGTACCTTAAAACAATGTAGGCAGATCAATAATTCTGAAAAGACAAATTTATTCTGAAATCTTGTGAACTCACTGATATTCTGTACCTAATATCTTACTTCAGGTCAAGTGTGCAGTAATTTTCCACTATCCGGATTTACTCGCTGCCTGTTCCTGCAAGCTTTATTGGAGGATGAGAAGGTGTTGGTGGCACTTCAGTTTAATCAGCAACAGCAACAAGATCAGCGCATACAATTCAGCACCAAAAATATTAATCCTGTTGAGCATCCCAAATACTCTGGAGGGCGCAATTACCACACTATGGTGGTTAGTCTACACACGTCCTGTTCAGATCTCCTGCAGAAAGTGTCTGGTGAGTGATCTTCAAGTTATTTTCAATGCCTCTGATGTGATTTCATCAATAAATGTCTAGCTTATCTGAGCCAAGATAGATGTAATGCGAGAATGGATATTTTTCTAGATATTGATTAATATACCTGTTCTGATCTCTTACAGTAAGTTTGAATTATTAATGAATGCCATTCTTACCAAGGCAGATGTAATATGAGAATAGGTATTATTTCTAGATATTGATTAATATACCTGTTCTGATCTCTTACAGTAAGTTTGGATTATTAATGAATGCCATTCTTACCAAGGCAGATGTAATATGAGAATAGGTATTATTTCTAGATATTGATTACAATTACTCAGAAATAAGATCAAAGTAGAAATCTAGTTTTTTTTTTATGGAATATTTTCCTGGTCATACAGATGCCCCAGGTTTGGCTGGACAGTTCTTGGAAAAGGCAGCAGAGAAATCAGACGAGTCAAAGCGAGAACTTAGTGGCTCATGTTCAACTGAAATAGCAGAGTATATTACGACTGTTGGTAAGGACATCTGTCTAAAACTAACAAATACTTTTAATCAAGTTGAAAATTGACTCATTGATTTATTCATGTTTTGAACAAAAGTAGTTGCAAGTTATGTTAAATGTCAATATTTGTTGTATGTAAAATGCACCATAATCAAACTCAAGATCTTTGTGTGCTCTGTGTAGCTAAAGGACAGGCTGCCAAGGAAAAGAGAGCTAAGGATGATCGACCAGAATCCAGTAAGTCAGTCTTACCTCCACGACCACCCACACGTAGAGGACGACACACAGCAGATGCAGTTACATCACAGCTCTTTTACCCAACTATGTCTCTCTATCACCCAAAACTACCTAGTAAGTAACCTTGAATCATTTAAACTAACAGCATTAAACAACCTGTTATCAGTCTTGATAAAAGCAATTAGTGTTTTGGAGAAAATAATTTACAGAACGATTATGGCTGTATTACTTTATTTACTGATGTCTCTTTTTGTTTATAGATAAAGCATTGCCTAGTGATTTGACACTGTCCCAGCTACTACAGATTTTACACCAGAGAGGAGATCAGGAGGGACACTCTGTTCTCCAGTTTAATGTCAAAATTGAGTCAAAGAAGAAAGAAAGCACTGTTCAAGATGCTCGTAAGTTTGAGGTTGGGTTAGAAAATTATGATAGCTGTTAACTTTAGAAATGAAATATTTTTGTAATCTACAAATTTATATTCATGTTCGATATATAAACAGTATTCATAGCTTAAATTGATGACATCACAACACTACTTTTCACAGGTTGTAGTCCCACAGCTGATTGGACAGAGTCTGATGAAGATGTAATTCCAGATGAGACACTGTTGTCTGTGTCTTCATTCCCAACGGCATTACAAGTGTTTGCTAGTGTAGGGGGTTTAGCATTGCTGGCAGAACACTTGCCACTGCTCTACCCGGAGATCTCCCGCCACCCAACTCAAGACCTGATTAACACCAACTATGGCAGCAAAACCATGTCCAACTCCAGTGAGCTACTCGACTGGGTTACAGTGGAACCATTCCCAGAAGATTTTTATGAAGTAAATAATTAATATAAATTGAAAAAAATATTATTATAAGGATGTTTGTACAACTGGTAGTTCATGCTAACATCATTTTTGTTACTTTTATAATACTAGTTACAGAATAAGATCTTGGTTTACACAAGTAAGACACTACAATGTAAATAAAACAGTATCTTCATTATATGTGCAGGAACTTGTTACATTTTAGCAGCTTTCATGATCACTGTGGTAAGATACAGATTCCTAGCTAAAATCTTACTATTGCTAATGGCAATTGATGTTTTTAAAACGAACTAACCTTGTGGAGTAAATAAACCATCTGCAACCGAAACTTGATAATACATTTAGAGCACAGATGAAAAGAGTGCTATACAATTGTATATTATCATTTTTAAGATGGGTGATGAAAAAGGAATGTTCATTATCGAAATTAAGTGGGATTGTAACAAAAATGCATGTGAAATCAGATTTCACTGGTTGGATGTTCTTGTGTACAGCTGTATGAGCCAGTGTCTCCTGCACCAGCAGTGTCAAGGGCAACCAACCCATCAGTAGCTATGCCATCTATTCCGCCACATTCTCTGGTTGCCTTTGGTCTATTTCTGAGGCTACCAGGCTATGCTGAGGTGCTGCTGAAAGAGAGGAAGAAGGCCCAGTGTCTACTCAGACTGGTACTTGGAGTCACAGATGATGGGGATGGAGGTAACTTGATTGTCTTTTCATCTGTGTTTGGTTTTGGTCTTGGACATTATATTAATTACCTCATTTATCATACAGCTTCTTTTGACATGATTATTATTATGATTATTTCACAGGTCATATCTTGACATCAGCCATAGCTGGCTCCCTCCCAACCTTACCTTTCCTAGTGCTGAAGACACTTTATGACAGCACACCCCTTACAACTGATGATGGAGTTCTGTTGAGGCGTATGTCACTTGAGATCTGGGTGATCCACCTGATTCTAGCCTGTTTGTCAGTCCTCAGTCACCACATCCCACGGACATCTGTGCCAGGTTTCCAACAGGAGGTACTATCCAAGTTGTTTTAAATTTTCAGTACTTAAAAGGCTCTGTGTTTAATTCATTGAAAAACTCATGCATTTCTCTTGCATCTTCCTTTAAACTGATTTCTCTGTAAATTCCAAGCAAAAATGTAATAAAAACCAAACCAAGAGAATTGGATTATATTGACTGCCACTTGATATGCCTTTGAGTTCACAAGCGACTGTAAATTTTTTCACTAATTTTCAATCTTTCGATGCTTACAATGAGTTCAAGTCAGACTTGAAAAAAAATTCTTTAAATGATTCCACTACCAGCTAGAAACTGGTATTTGCTGAATTCAATATAAGTACTAGTTTACTATGTAGTGAGACCAAGGAACCAACATCATATCAGCTCTTTATAGGGAACAAAATAATTAAAGTGTGTTCTGTACGTAAGAGTGAATTGTGACATCAGGTAATTATGTTCTTCAGGCCCAGATGATATTGTCTGCCATGCAGACTGCTAGCACACCCACTGTGAACTCTGTGAGCCATTCATCAGAGGAGAAGTCTCAGCAGTACTGGGCTAAGGGTACAGGCTTTGGCACAGGCTCCACCACCTCAAGCTGGGATGCCGAACAAGCTCTTGTCCGCCAGAAGAGTGAAGAGGAACATGTGGCCTGCTTGCTACAGGTAAACAAGATTACTTGTACCGCATATTCTGCTTTCCATTATATAAAACTTGTTATGGTTGATGAATACCGATCTGTCATTAGCATTCCATTGTCATATACAGTAAAACTTCGATGTGTCGAAGTTCAAGGGACCGTCGAGAAAGCTTCGACACATCGGGACTTCAACTCATGAATGGTGACCGTCTAACCACAAAAAATACACCTGATGTGTATTGTGTCCGTTTGTCTTATATGCAGAGTCCCTTATCAATCAATATCTTGTGTTGATCGCTCGCATAATTTATCAAACATCCGAGAAAGGAAAAGAATTCATATGAATTTTAACATGTTCATTATAAAGAAAAAAGACATCAAATAACAACGAATAACAATGCAACATACCACTTTCATAGAATCATTCATACACAGTGCAGCATGGTTGTATCGGAGATGAGAGTTCGGTTCACTTCCGGTATGTTTATCTTACTGATTTCGAAAAGGACGTAACAACATCCATACGTAACACACATGTAAGAATGCAAGCACAATATACATTACATATCTTAGCACTACATCGCAATGCAATATTTTCTTTAAATCCAAATTAAACAAAGAATGAACAACAAATTATATCTTACGCACTAATAGTGTCCGGTAGTGAAATGAAACGATGTCCTGAAAAAAAAATCACTAATCTCAATACAGGAATCAGTCATGTTGCTCCACCGCGTCGCCTGTGGACAAACAAACAATCAGGCCATAATCACACCACTTAACGGTTAATGACTTGAGAATACAGCTTGTGTAGACAATCAGACATGGTCAGTGATTATTGTCACTTTGTGTCTAGCACTTGCCTGGCCATTGTTCACGCTTCCGCCGAGGTGTGAAAACTGCCATGGGACACTCATACAGGTAAAATTTTTGACTTTGATTCATGTGTTGTGATTTCTTATGGTTTCTTAACCATGGGACTGGGAAAAAAGTTCGAATTAGCGAGAACTTCGATTCATAAAAGTTCGAGTCATAAATGTGAAATTAGTAGTATTATATAGGGGAAAAAATCGGGACTTGGCAAAAAGTTTGACACATCGAGAAATTCGACTCATCGAAGTTCGACTCATCGAAGTTTTACTGTAGTAGGCTATTCAAATCACACCACTTGCTTGGTCTGTCAGTCTGCAAAGAAATCTTGTTATTGCTATTTCTAAAGGAGTACTTGATGGATCTTTCCCAGTTTCATATGGGTGTAGGCCCATGCACAGGTATAAACCGATTCCCAATGTTAAGGCCTAAATATTAGTCCTATATTATCAAGTGAAATATAAATGTATGTGAAGTAATATTGTTTCTACATGACTTTAACAGTTAATCAATGAACTTGTACTTCACTTAGACTTGTATCACAATCAACTTATTGTAATTTTATGTCATTATCTTGGCAACTTGTAGGTCCTGGCAAGCTATGTGAATCCAAGTGGTGAAGTGCCCAAAAACTTTGAGGAGTCTGATTACACAGCTCCCTCTGAGAAGATGCTCCTGCCTCCCAATATTCCTGAGTTGCTGGGTCAGTCATGCCTGGTACCAGCCATCTCATCATACCTCAGGAATGACTCTGTTCTTGATATGGCCCGCCATATCCCTCTATACCGTTCACTTCTGGAACTTTTACGTGGCATTGCAGTATGCCCGTCTCTTGTGCCACTTTTGCTGCCACTAGACAAAGAAAACAATACTGACTCGACAGCAGCTGTTGGAATTTTGCTTGACAAAATGAGAGTGTGTGTTGACACCTATGCTAGCCGCCTCAAGTGAGTAAAACTTGCTCTGATTTTTATCCTCCCAGAACCTTTTTAGGGGAAGCCTATAGTCTGTCCATTTGTGTTTGTAGCTTTGACCACAGTTAAGCAAGGATCATTGGTCATACGAAGGCAATGTATAAAACTTCAGGGCCTGCAACCAATAAATTACAGATAGTGCCCTATGTTACAATTTAGTGTAAAGAGAACAGCTGTAAATTGCTTGCATTTAAACCTTGGCCCCTCTAATACAGAGTTACCAACTTTTATCAAAATTTGTTGCCATAAACTGAACTTTGCTTGCATTAAAAGAAGGGTCATGAAACTCTGTATTTACATTGGTTATATGAAGAGGATATACAGTGTACCGAATTCAGTACACCTTAACACCTTATTAACAGAATTATTGCCCTTTGTTTAAATTCTGCGTTCAATAAAGTCCTTCTCGGGTGTATATATTGATCCTTTTCAGGGAACATTCATCAGTTTCAGTGATACTCCTGTCTTTTTTAGGCATTGTTCAACCTTTTCTCATTTTGAAATAGAGCTTGATTCTTTACAAATGAAATTTTGCATTATAAACATTATAATCTAACTTTGAAAATGTGAAAGCATACAAGTGTTGCAATTGTATGTAATATACTTGTTTCTGTGCAGGTCCAACAAGGGTAAGAACGGCCAGTCTGGGGATGAGGAGGAGAATGAAGGGCTGGCTTTACTCATACCTAACATTCAGGAGACTGCACATATAGTCAAAGTGGCTACAGAGAGACTGCAGAAGTCCACAGGTAAGTCTTAGCTAAGAAACTGATATTGTACTGTACGTTATGCAAGCCTAACCTTTGAAATAGTGTTCTACAAATATATTTTGTATCTTCAATTTTGGATATGTTCAGAGGATTTAGAGTATGATAACCTTTCTGTTTGGAAGACTTCTCATGACAACATATTTATTGTTACACAAACAGCCTCACTGACTAAGATGCTATGCAGAGGGCCATCATAGACACCATTAGTTGTGCTTTACCAAATTGTGTTGTCAGCTCTAGTTGTTTAAGCTTTCAACATTGCAAAAAATTGTAAGTCTAAACTTAATTTCATAACCGCAGGAAGTTCGTAAGTGTTGCGTGACTTCAAATGTACATTTACATGTATTTTGACATTACACCAAACCAGGGAGAATCTAAAATGTAAGCTGTGGCTTTAGTGCAGATCAATTTGCATCAGACATTTTCTCAATGATACCAAGATTTAAACTATAAGCTTTTTTGTAGAGTGTGACAACAGTAGTATGGATAGTGAAGAAGCAGTCCTGGACATTCTGTCAGACAAGGAAACCCAGGACAAAAAATACATTGAGGCCATGAAAGCACTCCAGTTTGGTATGTTTTACTGACAATTCTCCATGTATGAATACTTATAAATATAGGAATATCAAAATAAAAATTCTAAAAAATAATTTTATCGTGAGAATGTTGGTCGCTATTAAGGAGGATTTAAACAAGAACAGCGTTACTTTCTTGTGATAATGTTGGTCGCTATTAAGGAGGATTTAAACAAGAACAGCTTTACTTTCTTGTGATAATGTTGGTCACTATTAAGGAGGATTTAAACAAGAACAGCTTTACTTTCTTGTGATAATGTTGGTCGCTATTAAGGAGGATTTAAACAAGAACAGCTTTACTTTCTTGTGATAATGTTGGTCGCTATTAAGGAGGATTTAAACAAGAACAGCTTTACTTTCTTGTGATAATGTTGGTCGCTATTAAGGAGGATTTAAACAAGAACAGCTTTACTTTCTTGTGATAATGTTGGTCGCTATTAAGGAGGATTTAAACAAGAACAGCTTTACTTTCTTTTGATAATGTTGGTCGCTATTAAGGAGGATTTAAACAAGAACAGCTTTACTTTCTTGTGATAATGTTGGTCGCTATTAAGGAGGATTTAAACAAGCTTTACTTGCATCCATTTTAATAACCAGCTAATCAGTTTGCAATTAAAATACACTAATATTAATCATTTATGGAATTAATGTCGGATATATAGACAGTTCTGTAAAATGTACTAGGTTATCTGGAAGTTGTCTGTTTTCTACAGATACCTCAGAATTGGTAATAGATGATGGTACTGGGATCAGATTTACATCACCTCACCACTACGAGAATAATGTTAAAGCTGCAGGGGAAATCAATAACCCAGCCCGTACACGTCGCCTCGCTCAGGAGGCGGTCACTTTGTCTACCTCACTGCCCCTCTCAGCTGGTAGCTGTGTGTTTGTCCGGTGTGATGAGGAACGTCTGGACATTATGAAGGTAACCCTCCTATACTTATTATACTGTAACTTATGTTGATTATTCAGGTTTTCATTCAGATAAGATTTTGAAATATCAAAAAAAAAGTAAGCAGAAATGATTTCTTTCAGATAAAACAAATCAGTAATACTTGTCCTAATTAATCATAATAAACCAGTTACATTACATGACTATACACCCACCTCTCTACTGAGACAGGGGTATATAGCCTACCTCTGATTACAATTTGGTCATGACTATACACCCACCTCTCTACTGAGACAGGGGTATATAGCCTACCTCTGATTACAATTTGGTCATGACTATACACCTACCTCTCTACTGAGACAGGGGTATATAGCCTACCTCTGATTACAATTTGGTAGTCATTAGTTTCTTTACAGATCAAAGGTCATATTGACAACTTTTTCAAATAAAAAGCAGGTGTACAATGTATCTCTGACATGGACCTCTGCATAAATTTGCTTCACTGTGGTTTAACATACCTTCTGCGCATAAGATTTCAGTATTTGGCTTTCAGGTGATGATCACTGGTCCTGCTGATACTCCCTATGAAAATGGCTGCTTTGAGTTTGATGTGTACTTCCCACAGGATTACCCAAACTCTCCACCATTCATCAACCTAGAAACTACTGGAAACCACACAATTAGATTTAATCCCAATTTATACAATGACGGCAAGGTAAGACAGGTCTTGGTTCATAAGAGTATTGATATTTTAGATCATCATCTTGAGATGTAGGGCTGTTGGAATTGCTATTTGTCAGTTGTAAGTTTTTCTGTTTTTAAACAATTGTTCTTATTGTTATTTTTGACTGGTGGATTATCCCATTTGGCCCCTAGTTGTATATGTTATGTTTTTGTCCCTCTTGGCCTGAGTTGTACATGTTCTGTTTTTGTCCCTCTTGTCCTGTGTTGTATATGTTCTGTTTTTTTGTCCCTCTTGGCCCCTAGTTGTACATGTTATGTTTTTCGTCCCTCTTGGCCTGATTTGTACATGTTATGTTTTTTGTCCTTCTTGGCACGAGTTGTACATGTTATGTTTTTTGTACCTCTTGGCCTGAGTTGTATATGTTCTGTTTTTGTACCTCTTGGCCTGAGTTGTATATGTTATGTTTTTTGTCCTTCTTGGCCCGAGTTGTATATGTTTTGTTTTTTGTACCTCTTGGTCTGAGTTGTACATGTTATGTTTTTCATCCCTCTTGGTCTGAGTTGTACATGTTATGTTTTTTGTACCTCTTGGCCTGAGTTGTACATGTTCAGTTTTTGTCCCTCTTGGCCTGAGTTGTACATGTTCTGTTTTTTGTCCCTCTTGGCCCCTTGTTGTACATGTTATGGTTTTTGTCCCTCTTGGCCTGAGTTGTACATGTTATGTTTTTCATCCCTCTTGGTCTGAGTTGTACATGTTATGTTTTTTGTACCTCTTGGCCTGAGTTGTACATGTTCTGTTTTTCGTCCCTCTTGGCCAGAGTTGTACATGTTATGTTTTTTGTACCTCTTGGCCTGAGTTGTACATGTTATGTGTTTCGTCCCTCTTGGCCTGAGTTGTACATGTTCTGTTTTTTTGTCCCTCTTGGCCATAGTTGTACATGTTATTTTTTTTGTACCTCTTGGCCTGAGTTGACATGTTCTGTTTTTGTCCCTCTTGGCCTGAGTTGTACATGTTCTGTTTTTTGTACCTCTTGGCCTGAGTTGTATATATTCTGTTTTTGTACCTCTTGGCCTGATTTGTATATGTTATGTTTTTTGTACCTCTTGGCCTGAGTTGTATATGTTCTGTTTTTGTACCCCTTGGCCTGAGTTGTACATGTTATGTTTTTCGTCCCTCTTGGCCTGAGTTGTACATGTTATGTTTTTTGTCCCTCTTGGTCGAGTTGTACATTTAATGTTTTTCGTCCCTCTTGGCCTGAGATGTGAATGTTCAGTTTTAGGAAAGTTGATGTTCTTAATTGCTATTTTTCAGAAGTACTGATTGAATCTTTCTTTTGATTTCACATGATCAATTTTGAGTCAAACTGTGATGGAACTTGGATTTGTCACTTAAAGCTTACAGTCATTGCTATTTCAGGAGAAGCACACAATGGACCATTCTCAAATTTCCTGTTTTTTGTCTATAACATTCACTATGTACATTGGTGCTTGTATGCTCCACATTGGTCATTTGTCTGATGATGGTGACCGTCAACAAATATCTTCTACTGGTTTTGTTATAAGAGTGGAAATAATTTTCATAATTATGTTAATAGTATGCTTATGTATGCATAATTATGTATTCTTTATCTTATTGGATAAGTTTGATAAGCAAAATTTTTTTCCCATTATTTACAGAGTTATGGCCATTGGTACATTTGCAAAATAGGTTTCCGATTGATAACTCGTGAAAGTTTTTATAGATTAATTGGAAACTTCATATGAAGGTTTATTACAAAAAAGGTTTCTGCTCAATAACTGATGTAATAACAATTAAATGGAATTATCCGCCTGAAATTCATCCAGTTATGGTTGCTCAACTTAGGATGGGCATATTTTTGTAACGCTTGCAGAACTCTTATTTTTATCCTGGACTTGTACTCCCAGAGAAACTATTGCCTTGATGTCTCGTTCTATTTTGTGGCACTTTTTCTGGTATATATCTCATACTTACAACTGCCAGGCTTTTTTTATGCAAGTACTTCTCCAAATAGCACAGTAATGCATACTGAATTTGGAGTATATGCTTAATGTTATTGATGTTCATTGTCACATTGTTTAGGTTTGTTTGAGTGTATTGAACACATGGCATGGTAGACCAGAAGAAAAATGGAATTCCAACACGTCTAGCTTTTTACAGGTAAACAGAATATTTTCTCCAATGCTTCAGTCCCCAGTCTTCCTGTAGTCTAGAATATCACCACAACACTCTGATGTCAGCACTCCTGACAACATGGAAAAGTCACATTTTGATAAGTTGTAGACAATGTGTTGTGAGTCAATTATAAAATCTTTATGTAGTAGCTGATATTTACTCGTCTAATTCCACTTCCAAAGAACATTTGATCTCAGAATCTCAAAAAATCAGTGGATCAAAACAGATATGACTGGACAGACTTATGCATTAACTTCAAGAGCATCTGCTGGATATGACATCAATGTCACTATTTTGAGAAACTCTTTGTCTCCAGCATATTTGTATACTTGATGAATTCTTGTTTCAAGTTTTCAAGCCAGATTCAATTTCAAGGTTGACAATTGCAAATCAATACTCATCAACATTATTTATGTAATTACTGACTTGAATTTTCAAAATCATTCTCAGTTTTTTTATTAGATACTTGACATGCATTGTGAAAACTTACAGTTTTCTTCAAAAATATTTCAGGAAATAGTTCAATTTGAAAGTTATGTATGGAAAATAAAGGTTGCTGCTACTTTTTTTTTTATTTATGAAGCAACTACTATCAAGATTTTGACCAGTGAAACACTATCATTCCTTAGAATTGAGTTATAAAAGGCAGCTATTACTATTTCATACTTTGCATTAGTACATTGCCCGCATCTTCCAGGCAAAAGATTCCTTGAACTGGGAATTAACTGGACAGCAGATTCCTGTTGCTGTATTGAGTCAATGTATTACCACTGTTTACTCAGATGTTCCTTTCATTCAACTTTTTAAGAGTATTCTTCATAAATATTGCATTAGTCACGCAAGCATCAATGCTTGTGGTAGGTATATATTATGCACTTTTTAATATTTTTTTTGTGGTACAGGTGCTTGTGTCCATACAGTCATTGATATTGGTATCAGAACCATACTTCAATGAACCAGGTTATGAAAGATCCCGTGGGACAACCTCAGGGACTGCTAGCTCAAGAGAGTATGATGCTAACATCCGACAGGCTACTGTTAAATGGGCAATGCTAGAGCAATTACGCAACCCAACACCTTGCTTCAAGGAAGTGATCCATCGCCACAACTGGCTCAAACGGCATCATATACTGCGCCAGTGTGAGCTTTGGATAGCTGAGATGGAGTCGTATTGTAATGACAAGAGAACAGGACGCACTATAGCCCACAGCACCCTTGCTCTTAAAGTATGTGTATCAGGCCATGATTCTTAAGCAGGTCAACATTTTTGTAGAAATCAATTCAAGAATTATTTGAAGTTACACTTTAGCAGATTTGATAGTGCTTAATACATTTGGGATAAAAGACTAAGAGAATTGTGTCTTTTTATGAATTCAATTCCGTACTTGATATATATGTCTTTTTTTTTTCCCCCAACACTACTTAGCGACACTACAACCAACTGCGAGAAGAGTTTGCCAAGATGAAACCTCCAGAAGGACTAGAGGAAGAGGAAGCAGATATCGATCCCAAGGGGAAACAGTATCAGACAGACACCACCCTCAATACCTCTGCCTCCACAGGAGATCTGGAGGCAGCTGTTGCGGGACCCTCCACCTCCCAGACTGATCCGTGTAATAACATGTGACAGGGGTTGATTGTATAGGATTGTACAGGACAATTGACCAAGCTACTCGCTGTGTGATTAGTCAGGAAGTATCTCCTGATGTCTAGCACTCCAGTACTTGGTCCCATAATGATAATGGAAGCAAGCAGTGGAAATTGATATGATTCTGACAGTTCCTAATAAATACCAGAAATTGATGTTACCAGGCAGAAAACTGGAGTCATCACCAAAGATGTTAATGATGCAGCGAAGTGCAGGGATATACAATAAACTGGTTTGTGACCAAAACAACATCAACCATAATATAATCTGCTACAAAATCCTGGATGTTTGTACAGCTAATAGCACTAATGATGTTCAAATAAGGATATTATCCCATCACGAAACTATATCTGGAGCATGGGCAATATTTATTCATTGTCATTAAACTTTTCAACAGATGAAAGGTTCTGTCATGAGTTTTTCAAATTATTTATTTTACTTTGACAGAACAATAACGTTAGGTATATGATACTAACGTAAGATCAATATTTTATTTAATATTTTTTGTGCTGAAATTGTATGTAGTTGATAAGTGCGGACATTTTATACCGTACTTTATTCTGTGTCACACTAGCAGGTATCTGCTATGTGATAGATTTATGGTTACATTGTGTATTGTACTAATATGATGGAGTTGACCACATGGCAGTTACTGTGACTGAAGCATTTCTGCAAATGGCCAAACCTCTAATTTATGTTATATATGTATTTTTCACTTCTTCAAGTGTGTGTGGTTTGTTATCAGTGCTTACAATGCTAGAAAGCTGTCCCAAAAACTTGTGGTGAGGAGTAATCTGTCAGACAGGCACTGTAAGTGCTACCCCACACTTTGGCTTCAACTGGTACGATTTGTGATATAGTCATGCAATATTGTGATATTTTCATGAAACATGAGTGTGAAAGTCATGGAATGCATTGCTTATATTGACGAGAGACATTGTGATTATCTAGTTGTTGGATGTTGTGTCTGTAGTTAAGAATGATTTTGTTCCCACCATTGCTGTGTCCAGACAATGCCAAATTGATAATAAACCAGTCTTTGATAATAATGATAAATCAGAATCCTTTGATATTTGTGCTTTATGTGTGTATTATTACCTTGTGGAGCCAGATTTACCATTATCCATATGGTTTTGATTTTATATGGCATGCCCATGTCTTTACAAGTTTATTTTGTGTGTGATTCAATGGTTTTACAATCACTCAGATTTCAAAAAAGAATTCTTTTCTCTGTTTTATTAAATGTTTTCTTTCTCATCCTTTTTCAGTTGAAGCCTGCACAATATTTTTAATTTGTAAGATGATGTCTTGTTTACTTTTTTACATCATGACAGTATTGATGATAAACACTTACTGTATGTGGTCACTGGGGACCTCGTTTTATGTCAGTCACCAGGATACAAACCCAGTAATTGTATTCTTGACTAATACACAGACACTGGTAAGTTTGTCTTTTTTTTCCCTTTTTTTTTTAATTGGATGTGTTTAGTGTATAATGTTATACATTTCATTTTATGTCCTGGCCTGTTTCAGTGATGGAATTAAAATAGGCTTGGAATGGGTTGAAGGGGATTCCAAAGTGTGAAGTCTGGAGACAATACATGTAATTGTGTGGAGTGGCTATGATAAAGGATTTGGGAGCTCTTGTTGTTACTGATTTATCTGAGATGTAAAGCAATCCTGATAATACGATAGGAAGTAGCTTTATTTTTTGCTGACCATAAGTGATGGTGATCAGGTTGTAACACACACACTCCCCCCCCCCCCCCCCCCTTTTTTTTTTTTTTTTTTTTTAGATTCCCCTACTTACTCTTCTTTGTTTCTGGCAAATGATATCTTTTTTTATATATTTTTTTTTTCTTGATATACAGGAGTATTCCTGATTACATATTCGGGTAACTTTTTCTCACATTTCATCCTTAGTTGTTTGGAAAACTGTCCATGTGAATTATTTTCTGGGCAGCTGTACTTTTTTTGAATGTATGAGCTAATTTATAGACTTTACTTTGATTGGGACAATTTGAGGTCTTGAAGTCAAATTCAAGCTTGCAAGTAAAAGTATTGAAATAGTAGAAAATGATTGTGTATGATATTTGATTATTACTTTTCTTTGATTTGACGTCATTTCCTCAAAAATGTCCTAAATTTGTTGTAATTGTTTTCATTAAATTGTTGTCTGTGGCATGTTGACTATATAGAATATAAGTATAAAGTGTATTGTTGTTGTTTTATATCTGTCGTTATACTGGACTAATTCATTGTCGACTGTATACACTGCTATGATAGTAAATGGGGTAGATGTCGGAGTGATTGAGTAGTTGTGTGTGGATGTGTCTAGAGTGATAGTTGGTGTGCTCTATCTGTTAGTAATAAACAGGGATGTTGAAAGTAATAATCTTTACTAAGGTTAATTTCATCCCCAGATTGTCTTCATTTTAATAAAAAGAAAAAAATTGCAATGTTCTTGCTGAATATTGTGTTTTTAGTTCTAAAGAATTAAATATTACAGAAATTACAAGTACAATTTTTACACACAAGTCAAGTGTTCTTGTATTTATTGAACTGATTGATCTTCAGAGGAAACGGTAGTATAATACTTAGATCATAAATTTCAACAGAGGTTTTGATGTTTGGGGAATATGAATATGCATACTTTATATTCTCAACAATTAATTAATTATCATAGATCTTTATTTGATGTCCAAATAGCCAATATCTCACTTACCTTTAGCTCAGAAGTAATAGTTTGACAATGGGATTGATTCCATTGTAATTTACAGAGTTATGGACCTTGAAAATGCAATGACTTGAGTAAATGTAAACCGATTTTGAGGAAACATGGTGTGCAGCTTTATATTGACAAGATCTTACATGAGTATGGCATTACCTATTGGATTGTAATTTACAGAGTTGTGGCCCTTTGATATTTTACCACAAGTGGACCTTGTGAACAGGATGACTTGAGTAAATATAAATCTGTTTTGATGAAACTTGCTATGCAGCCTTATGTCAGGAAGATCTGCGATGAGTTCGACCATACCTATTTTTGTTGTACTTACAGAGTTATGGCCCTTCGCTGTTTTACTACTAGTAGACCTTGTGAACAGGATAAGGGAATACATAACAAATACATTTTGATGAAATTTATTTCACTTTACTAGCGACTTTCACAAATATCTAACCACTATACTAAACCAATTGAGGTTTGAATAGCAGAGTGTCAATACATGGATACATTTTATGGCATTAATTGGACGTTAAAAAAAAGAAAGATGGATGCATGGATCTTAAAAAAGGCAAATGATAAACTTAGAGAATAGCTGACCGACTTACATTTATTATACACATCATTTGCTGCCTTTATTCAGTACATTTTTATGATTGTAAATACACAAATGGAGTATAGTGATCAATTCACTGCTGCAGTCAGCCTAATTTTCATATTTGTAAAAGGTACCTTATTTACCATACATTCACATATTCAGCTGTTTTTCTCTTTCCTATCCAACGTACGTCCTGTACAATCCTGTAAAGGAGACCATAAAAACCAACACTACTACACTTGTCTACCAAACAATATTCAAACTCTTGTTTCCTGTATCATGAAACCTTTTATCTAAAGAATAATTTCATTCCCTGTCTGATGGGATTATCCTGCAAGTACAGAGGCAATCCAATATTCTTGTTTATTATCACTGCTGTTATCACTTCTGTACTTGGAAGTAGGACTTTATCACGTGTTGGAATTTTAGGTTGAAGGCTACAATACCACATCTGTGTTGAACCACTTTGTAATGACATGATTTCTTTTCTGTATTGTGTTTTCAAGTTCAGACTTTGTGTAGGAAATCCAGCGTTAAATCAACTTAAATTTTACACATTTTCCGAGCGGCACGAGAAATGTTTATCTATTTCGGAACTTTGAACAGGTGCAAAATTATACTTGAGTACAATGACCAAGAATTCAACAGTCTGATATACACTTTACATTACACAAAAGCTAGAAACCTAATTCTCTCCTAATTCAAAACAAGAGGTCTTAGCTGACTGCAGTTGTGGTTCTCAGCTGACTACACAGTAACATTTCATTTTTTACAGTCCTCAGTTAAAGTAGAAGACACTTACTTTTCTGGAAAACCAGGTCTTATTTTCCATATGTTTTTTTCAGGGGTCTCTGTGTAAATCTTTCATTTGTTCTGTTTTGCCCAACTTTTATTGAATTTGAGTTTGGATTATGATTCAGTTGACATGTTCTCTGCAGTAGGATAGGGGTCTTTACTGTAATTCAGTCATCTTATCTTTTTCATTTAGTTTGGAAAAAAATAGCTAACTGTTCCAAGTTTCATTAATCTTTTTTTTCTTTTTTTTTTTTTTATTTTTTTATTTTTCAAGAGTTTTTAATGTACATAACAATTACATCAACAAAACATCATCAAACATACAACATACAATATGCTCACTCACACATCACCATAATCTTGATTAAGTTGTATCATCATCATCATCATCATCATCATCATCATCATCACCACCATCATCATCATCATCATCATCATCATCATCATCATCATCACCACCATCATCATCATCATCATCATCATCATCACAAACACCATCATCGTAATCATCATCATCATCATCACAAACACCATCATCGTAATCATCATCATCATCATCACAAACACCATCATCGTAATCATCATCATCATCATCACAAACACCATCATCGTAATCATCATCATCATCATCACAAACACCATCATCGTAATCATCATCATCAGAAGAAGAAAAAGAAACATCATCATCATCATCATCATCATAAACATTACCATCATCATTATCTTCTTCATTATAAACATTACCTCATCATCATTATCCTCCTCATTATAAACATTACCTCCTCATTATAATCATCAGTCATCATGATCTCAATCAAGTAATCATGTCAATACATTCTTCATCATTGTCATATTCAATATGCCTTTGTCACCACCTTCATGTCAATAGATTCATCCTCAGCATTCATTATCACATATGCACCTCATCATCAACCTAACTATCAACACAATTTGTCATTATAACTTGAAATCCATCCATACATCATCGCCTGGCATTTTCATCAACACCCTTACTAACATCACAACACTACCCTTACACACCCACTCCTATACATACATCAATACTACACATAAAGATAAAGAGGAGAGAGAGAGAGAGAGAGAGAGAGAGAGAGAGAGAGAGAGAGGGGGAGAGAGAGAGGTGATCTGGGTTAGTAAAAATTGCAATAATCAGCGAAACAATAGGGACTCGAGTATAAAGAAAAATACCTGGTAAATAAATAAATAAATAAATACTATAAGGGTAAGCAAGGGGCCTGCTATACTGTAAAGGCAGAGAATACTAAAATACGGTAAAACATACTACATGACAGTAAATGTATTTAAAGTTAAGAATTGGCCAATTCCAATAATTTTCTCCATTTTCTCCATTCCTCATTAAAACTTAACTGTGCCTGTTCACCTTTACTATTGGCAATATATTTCTGAAAGGTATAAAATTCCCTGACTGAATAAATAAGACTATACACTTAAGGCTTTGTGTTGACATCTTGCCTTATATCTGTAATATTTAATGATAATTAAGATTTCATTGTCAAGTTTGCCACTGATTAACTGATTTTTATTAGCAATGAAACCAAACAGAAAACTTATTTTATTGAATGAAAATGGAATAAAAAGAGCCTCCAGCAAAACTTCTACACTTTCTAAAAATTTTTGAACTTCTGGACATTCCCACATAATATGAATAATTGTCTCCTTTTCTAAGTTACAGAATGTACAGTGTAGGTTATTCAGTAGTCGAATTTTAAACATGTATAAATTTGTTGTTAAGATGTGTTGAACCACTCTGTACTGAAACCATTGAAGTTTTGTATTTTTTGTTGCACGAAAACAATTTTTATAAATATCCCTCCAATTTAGAACATCAAATTCTAATATTTATTCCCATCTTTTCCTCCCAGTAGAAATTATATCGTTTTTTACTAAAAGATTATATATATCTTTTGACCCATTTCCTTTTTTTACAAAACACTCAATACTACTTGGAATGGTTGGAAAAACTTGAGAGGTACATGTTCTTACAAAGTCAGATCTAGCTAAATATGACTTAACCACAGAGACTACACCATGGTATTCAAGGAAATTTGAATTTACATTATAAATTTGCTTAAAATCTTGAAAAGTGTAGAAAGTGCCAGTAGAAAAATCTTTGAATAAATCATTAACTATCATCACTCCCTTATCATACCATGTCTTGTAGAATATACTTGTCTTCCCTATCAACAAATCTTTATTATACCATAAAGGAGTTTTCCAAATATTTTTCTTAACAGTTTCATTAATCTTTCTTAACATCTGACTTCTCTTTACTTGAAATTGCCCATAGGAAAGCATGACATATTTAAGAAAACTTTCTTAATTTTATATTTTTCCAGAACTTTTATAATGATTTTCTCTCGTAGTTAAGGTTTCCATAAGTTAATGAAGATTCGTGAAACTGTGACAACTATAAGGTATGGCGTGACCGTGTAGACAAGGCGTTTTAACTGTAAGGTATGGCGTGACCGTGTAGACAAGGCGTTTTAACTGTAAGGTATGGCGTGACCGTGTAGACAAGGCGTTTTAACTGTGAGGTATGTCGTGACCGTGTAGACAAGGCGTTTGAACTGTGAGGTATGGAGTGACCGTGTAGACAAGGCGTTTTAACTGTGAGGTATGGCGTGACCGTGTAGACAAGGCGTTTTAACTGTGAGGTATGGCGTGACCGTGTAGACAAGGCGTTTTAACTGTAAGGTATGTCGTGACCGTGTAGACAACGCCTTTTAACTATAAGGTATGGCGTGACCGTGTAGACAACGCCTTTTAACTAAAAGGTATGGCGTGACCGTGTAGTCATCGTTACTTCTACTGGTTGTGTTAGAGCATCTCTTCTTAGTCATTACCAACCCGAAGAAAATGTTTCGAAATAAAAGAGAAACACGTAAGTGACACCATTCGAGTTTGGTGCCACTACCCGCTGTTGTATACTTGTACACTAAGTTATCCCCCGTGTTTGAACTGTGTGATGTAATGCAAAGTTCAGTGTTTTTCAAATCAAGAAATATTAAAACATACTATTTAAATACCTGTCAATGTTGCCAGAACATAGCAACAGACGTGCTGAACATGTCATGATCACCGTTTTATAGAATTCAATTTTCTCATTTGATTGTAATGAATCTTCAAACATTCACTACTATCCTATTGTGTGTGGGAGTTCTGGCTTTTACAACTTTGTCGTTAAACGTTACACGTATCTATATCAATTAGAAAAGAAGACTCCATTTTTATATGAAATCACAGTTTCGACAAATGCAAGGTAAGTGACCATATTAACATGAAAACTTAGTAGTTTTATATTAG